GATATGGAGGATATAATTTTTAGAATTTGCAAGAATATATATATATATATATATATATATATATATATATATATATATATATTGATATTAGTGAAAGATGTATAAACTAATTCATGTAAATTTGATTTCTAAAATTATATAGTAAAAGAAATATATCGATAAGGTAAAATCAAAATTAAAACCGAAATTTGTTTATCTTTTTATGATTTTTGTTTCTGCTTTTGAGTTTCTTATATTTGAAGGGATTTCTACAGTTGTTTTAAATATTAAGAAACTGTTAGAAAACATAAATACCATAATTTTTAGTGTAACATATATAACAACTAACAAGAAACAAAAATAACAAATACAGATGATGTGATATGAGAAAGATTTTGAGTTGCCAAGAAATGTCTTTCTTTTTTTGTCAATTAGAATAGAAATTGGTGATACATGGTTTAATGGTGAAAGCAAATTAAAGAAGGAGAGCAAAATAATTATATTGGTATGACATAATGTAAAAAGCAAAAATAGACCACAGGAAGAAAAAGGACAAAAAATATAATTGCTCTGTAGGGATTCTTTATATTTGGTATTTAAACCAACTGTAATTTCAATATTTCTTGTACATTCTGACACCTTAATAATTATATAATGTCGACATAACTGGGACTTTGAGAGAGAGAAAATACGTTATACGTAAAACATAAATAACCATTATTCAACGTTAGCGAAAAAACATTATCTAACAACAAGGAAAAACAATTTATCATTCATACAAACTCTCGAGAAAAAGATAGGAAGAAAAAAAAAAGACAAGAACTGACCATATATAAATTCACCACAGGTAAATTTTGAAAAGAAAAAATAACTTTTTACTCTAAAATCTTTTACATGTTCTTACAAAACAGTTTACGCCCCGAATTTATCTGAGTTAATATGTTCTTACAAACAATTAACTATAAATCTTCAAACAGTATAAAATTTGACTGATTAATATATGATATATTTTTTATATATATAATACACAGATGAAAATGAAAGTGACACTTAGGGTCCTTCGACAAAAAAAATGACGTATAGGGTGAAAGTACAAAAGGAGAATGTTATTTTCACAAAAAAAAAATATTAAGTTTTGAAAGGTAATAGTTATTAAATTTGAAATATTTATTGTATTTTCACACAATAATAAGAGGGGAGTCTGTATTTTCAAAAAATAGTTCATTTTATCTTATTTTATTTTCATGGTTCTACAAAAATCGGATGTATCCTATTTAAAGAAATGTAAATCTTGTGAAAATTTTATAATTGGAAATTTACGTTCTAAAGTATAACATGGCGGATCACTCACATATTTTTAAATTGTTTAATTAATAAAAGATTGTAGATTAATTGGAAAAGTACACTTTAATGGTAAATTAATTAACTGATTAATCAACATACTTCGCAAAATACAAAAAATAAATAAACTATTTTCATAATTTTACCAAGCGCCATAATATTATAAACAACACACTATTTAAAAAGGAAAAAAAAAACTTGAAAGCATCAATAAAAAAAAATATAGGATTCTAATGATGAATATACATTGTTTTTCCAGTAGATGATTATAGTTTTCAATAAATGTTTTCTTACATCCAAAGTACAAAAACCATAAAATATGTTTACTTTATATTGGTGTCTTGTGATCGATACTAAATAGTCAAATATATTTTATCGGCTTACAAAAAACAGACGTGTACTTTTAATCTACATTAATTGTTTTTGTCGATCTATATTAATCGTTTTATCGTGAAGTTTATATAACGAAAAACTTACTTTCTAAATTGCAATAATTATTTGCGGCGGATCGATTTTAAAAATATTTGATTAAAAAAGACGATGGAGAATCTCTTTTTGTCAGATCGATCGTAAATCATTAAAATGACAGTTTTATTTTATTTTATCGATGTGTACTTTAATCCATATAAGTTTTTTGTCGTAAAGTTTATTAAAAAGCTACAATTTAAGTTATAACAATTAATTATAGTAATCTATTTAAAAATATTTAATTAATGAAACGATCGTAAGAAAAGCTTCTTTGTCAAATCGATCGTAAATATAATGAAAGAACTAAGTTTTATAGAAAGTTAATAATCGAAATAAACCAAATACAAGTAGAAAAAATAGAAAATTCTGAATTAATATTCTTCATCATTCATTCATATAAACAACATACCTAAAAACATATTCTTAATTAAAAAAAAAAAAGCGAACCGAATCAATTAACTAAAAGAGCCAAATCTGCCAAACAAAAGAGTAAAGAATTTGGTCAGAGAAGTGCTATCATTTTGATTCTGTCACACTTCCTCCGCCATTTAAACAAAAAAATCTCCTACCATAAAACCTTTTATTAATAATTGTTTTTATCTTTTTTTTTTTTGGTCAGAATAATAATTGTTTTTATCTTTAATGCAAATTAAATATTTCAAAGAAGGTAATTTGTTTTTTCCTACTACTTACCATTCCAGAGAGAACTTAAAACGTGAATCCGATAGAGATAGAGAGAGAGACTGAGAAATGAGAAGCTCACTGCTACGCTGATTTTGAGGGGAGAGAGAGAGAGAAGAGTACCTCACAAGACTTGCACAGATATATAGACGAAAGACTTCTCATTGTCTTCTTTCTCTTCAATTTCTTCTTCTTCTTCTCCTTCTTCTTCAACTTTACCTCAGAAGGAAGAACAAGTCCTGAGAAACTCAGGTCTCTTTTTTTTTTTTTTCCTTTCAATTTCTTCTACCTTGAATATTCTTTAGTAATAGCCTCAGAAATTTCCCAGATTTCAGTTTCCAATCGATTTATATATATATATATATATATATATATGTCTGTATAATTTTTCAGCTCTTCTTTGTTTTTATGTTGTTAAGTAATCTCTCTGTCTGGTCTGATGATATGTTTCTTTGGATGATCCTTTCCTTTGTATTGACGATTCGTCTTGCCTTCTGGATTTTCCTTATCTGGGTTCCAAAGATTGTTGCTTTCCTTATTAAATATCAAAGCTTGCTTTTTTATTCTCACATTATGATTTATGAGTTACTAAACTCTTGTTTTATGCTATGGACATTGGATCATTGCTTAAGCTAACATTTTGCTTTTTTTTTTTTTTTTTTTGAGGGCACAGATCATCAATCATGTCTCAGCATTCCAACTATCAAATGGCCACTGCTTCTGATTACTATTCGACAAAACCGGTCTTGTCAGGGATTAAGAGCCACAAACTCATCTCTAGTTTGTTTGAAGGAAAGTCTCCATCTGATTGTGAATCAGCTTGGAGCCCAACTTCTCCTTTGGATTTCAGATTGTTCTCCACTTTAGGGAACCCTTTTGGTGCTTCTTCTTCTTCTTTGAGGTCAATCTGGAAAGGGAAACAAAAGAGCTGGGATTCTGGTAAAGTTGGCTTGAGCATTGTTCATTCTCTTGTTGATGATCACAATGATTCATCATCAAGGATTGTTCTGCCATCACCGGATAGTAAAAGCATAATCTTTGGGTCCTTGATGAGAAGTGGAAACCCCAAATGCCAGAAACCTCATCTACTCTCTCAACCCCTTGCCAAAGCTTTGATGCCCAAGAATGATATTCCCAATGTTGTTTTTGAGATTGGACAAGATGTGCTTGATGTGGTTGAGCTACAAAAATCTGGCTCGGTCGCTGCTTACTGCTCCGGTGCTGGGAACTTCAGTGTGAACAACAATGCTTGTCAGGTGATCAAGCAAGCTCCAGGATCACTTAATGGGGGTACTGGAAGTAACATTGAGATCTCAGAGGACTACACTTGTGTTATTTCTCATGGTCCTAACCCCAAAACCACCCATTTTTACGGGGATCGGGTTCTGGAGTCCGTAGAGAACAATGAGTTGAAGAACCGTTGTTGCAGTAACAAGAAAAAGAGCATTTTTGCAGTTGCTCCTCTCGACTTGACAACACCTGTTGATGTGTTACCTCCCAAAGACTTCTTGAGCTTCTGCTACGGCTGTAGCAAGAAGTTGGTTATGGGGAAAGATATATACATGTACAGGTACTCTCTTCTTCTCCTTCAACACTAGTGCACTTAGACTTGGTCCTCTATTCTCTTTGCATTGGTGTGTATTAAGATAAAGTCTCGAACTTTCGATAGTTTTGAGCCTACAATAGAAACTCCCTTACATGAATCTAATCTCTAAAACATAAAAGTCTAATCAAAGAAATGGAAACTTAGGTTCTTTGCAGTACTTCGTTACTAAACTGCATAGCTTCGTTCCAAATGTAATGAGATCACACACAAGTGAATATCTTGTTAAATATCAATGTCATGGTTTTGATTTTCAGTGGATACAAAGCGTTCTGCAGTAGTGAGTGCCGTTCAAAGGAGATAGATCGGGATGAGAAAATGGAGGATGAAGAAGAAGCAATCAAGTCTGCCTCGTCTTCAGAGAAGGACCTGTCTAAGAAGAAGAGTAACGGTGTGTTCTTCACCGTGGGCTGATTCCAATGCTCCCACCATTTCTATGATCGATTTGAGTCCATGAAAAGAGGAAAAGTAGAAGCTTGAGCTGATCATCTGTTCAAGAAAAAGAGCTGTTGGTTTCTTTAAACCGAGGCGGCCATGGATGATCATTTTTGTATATTGCTTGTGCTTCTGCTACCTAACAAAAAAATACTTTTGGTCTCATCTCTCATGGTTTTGGTGGGTGATTGATTGGAACTATGGCTCTTGTTATGGATATTTATAATTATGGTTCATTTATTCAGATATTATAATCTTAATTTATATAAGAGGAGGGTAGAAGCCGGTTTATGTGGTTCCCCTCCGGTTATCTCTTTTTCATTTGTTAAATTTTGATGCTACCTTCAAAATCTAAAGGAGTCAGTGGTCAATGTATAAGTCCATGAAAGGAGGTACTATGAAGAAGAAAGTTCTCCACCTTCTTTTGTTCTTTCCCTTTGTGTATATATCATATGATAGTAAATCTGAATTTGTCCCAAAAACTCTGATTTAATAAGCATAAAAATTCCTTGGATACCATACCAGTTGGGAAGAGTTTAGAAGAAGAATGCAAGTTATACATTTATATCTCCATCTCAATACATTTGATTGTGAACAAGATTTTCAGATTTGGACAAATTACTTCGCTTCGCTCATTTCTCACACTACATCTTTCATAACCTCTCCTATCAAAATTAACAACAATTTCGGGAAAAAGTATTTTTGATGAGATGCTGAGGTAGATGGAAGCATCACCAAAACCTCCATGGATCCTTGTATGGAGGAACATAACTATCAGTAGGAGGAAGAAGCCTAAAGGATCCCACTGCTCTTTCTAACACTGGTCCCATCTGCATTTTATGCAAACCCTCAAAATCAGACATCTTCACACTGACACAATAAATGTACAGAAAGTAGAGAGGTTACAGGTTTTGTACCTTGTCCCATTGCTTGCCAAGAGTTGAAGCGTTTATGGTGTATAAGTACCCTGCAATGAGTGAGATTCAGGTAAATGTTATTACTTTAGATCAGGCTAAACAAACTCTAAACTTTGCATCTCAATCAATTCCTTTGTGAAAAGTTGTTTACCATCACGTTCAGCTGTTGAAGAAATATAGTGTCTGTAAAGCTTTGATGCTTCAGCCTGCCCACATATAGCAAATCCAATAAGTCCTATCATAATCAAACCCTATGTCTTTAAACAAGAAAAATCTGCTCAGAATTAGAGAGAGTTACAATTTTGGTTGGTGATTTGCGGACAAGGTACTCGTAGTACCAGTAAGGCTCCCCATCAATCTACATATAGTAAGCATATGAGGCTTGTGAGCTTTGTAGATTCAAACTTTTTACTTTGTTTTTATGGTTTGTTGTGGAAGATCATACTTACATCAGTAGCATGTGCATCGAGAACTGAGCTCTCTTCGAGACGCTGACTTGAGGTGACACGCTGCTCATTGAAACAAATATGTTTAACGTGTGAGAGAAGGAGAAATGTTATTGTGATGTGTTTCATGTTAAAAGGGTTTACCAATGCTGATTTATCAGACAAAACAGAGTCAGCAACTTCTTTAGCGGCCCATGTTTTCTTTTCTTTTGATGTTAATCTTGAGTTTGGGGGACCTATCTGAATCAAAAACCGTAAAAAAGACATCGCGAGCAAAGAGAAGCAGCCTTATAGTAAATGGGCAACACCAGAAACTTACCGAAACAGAAATGACGAGGTTGTCGATGAGGTCAACTCGTTCAGAAACAATCCGTAAACGTGCATCAGCTGGACCAGTTGAAACAGATTCAGTCACAACTTAATGCATCAAGTAGAATTAAAAGAAAGCATAGCACTTACGAGAGAGTGGTGCAGCTGAAGAGTATCGTTCGGGCTTTCTTGATTCGACCCTGCATAATCAAAATGTAAAAGAGTGAGATACACCTTGAACTAATAGGAATCATTACATAAAAAGATTCCAGTCAATACCATTTGAAGACAAGCTTCTCAGATGGATAATCCAGTGGGTAAGCATAAGAATAAGCATTAATATCATCCACCATTGTACCCATTTTCAATTCTTCTGTACCCAATTTCAGGTCTTCTTCTGCATGAGTAACTGCAATAACAGAACCCCAATGAACATTATAAGATAAGCAGATGAGCATTAATGGCCTAAACAGATTCTCAAATACTTCCATGAACCAAGTCTCTTCCTTTCTCTCTACTTACAAATGAAAGCCAAGATTTTTAGGTAGAATTGAAACTATATAACCGAATTTACAAGATACTAAAAGATGAACAGTAGAAGGAAGCAAAGCATTACCAGGAGACGACAGTGGCAAGAGCATAGACAATGGAGAAGACAAACCAATTAGCACCAAATCCCTACGAGAGAGCCCCTTTTCCGAAGAAATTGATCTCGTAGACACACCAGAACGAGCAATCACCAGCTCTTTTGATTCTCCATGATACTTACTCGAAATGTTGCTGTTCCTGCACCTGAAAACAATCTCATCCAAAATCACAAAAGCTTTCGAAGAACAAAAACTACTAGCGCGAGCACAAAATAAAGCATCACAGAAGATAGATTATATACCTGAAAAGACGAGAATTGGGAGAGGGAAGAGGAGGACAGAGAAGAGCCATAGCTATGGCGTGTTCCTGGAGCTTCTTCATCCATTCACTCTTTTGTTTTTGATACTTTTAAAACCGGTGGTTATCAATCGGTTTACTAAACCAAACTGTAAACCGAATTAATTTCAATGCGGTCGGATAAACATAATCGTGTGTCCAACCGAACCCCATCGTGATGTTTGGTCTCCTCCATGTAAACGGACACTAATGTATACGATATTAATTCCATAAATAAAGGGGTTAGCCACATTAATCGCATCATTTAGGCCTCTCTCTGTCTGTCTGTGCAAATTATTCGAGCGATCTTCAACGCTAGTTTTTGTCTGGTAAGCTCATTTTCTTCTCTCCTCATTAATCGTTTCTTCTTCTCCTTTTACGTCGATCGTTGACGAGGTCAATCTGATTCCGTCTTTTAATATTTTTTATTTTTGCATATAATCCACTCTTCTTCGCATCATTTCCTTTTTGATGTAGTTTTCCGACATCAAATTTGTTCATGCAGTAACAACGCAAGCCATAATCTCTAATGTAACCGCATGCATTTCTTATTTTTCATATCCTCAATAGATTCCTTATTTATTCTGCGTTATTATGTCTATTCATATCGAAATTCTGGCTTATTTTCTAATGTTGTTGTTGTTGTTAATGGATATTACCAATTTGAATTTGGCAGTATCTCTATTAGCAAGACAAAAGCAATGAAGCCAGGAGCATTTGCATTGAATCCACATGCAGCATCGTATGTACCAATCTCCAAAAGAATGGATTGTGGTGGTGGTGGTGATGATGGTTTGATGTTTGCAGCAAAGTCCCCCACGCAGGGCCAGCAGATAAGTTTCTCAGGCGTTCAAGTGTCAATGCCGAAGAAATCCTCTGAAATGGCTTACAAGCAGATCAGGGATGATGATTTGGATTTGGAGATGGATATTGACATGGATATTGAATACCTTCTTGTGACTTTCTCTGGTCTCTCACAAGAGTCTATTACTGATGTTTACCTCGCGAATGGCGGTGATCTTGAAGCAACCATTGAGATGCTGAATCAGCTTGAGGTATAAACATCATATTTTGTCTCTTTTTTTTTGCCTTCAACAACCTGCAGTTGACAATACATTTTCAGTCTCCTTGTGATAAGCTAGAATGTCGAATCTCTTAATCCGCATTTCTTTTTGTTGATGTAATGATCTTAAGCGATGATTCTGATCACTCTTTCTATATAGATATACAGTACTGAATCGGAGGAAAATCTGCCAGAGACACTTGATATTGGGGATATCTCTGAGTCAGGGCCTTCAACCTCAAAAGCTACTGAAGTCGCTGCATCCACATCATCGGTTATCCCTAATGCACCTGTATCGGCCTGATTCATGAATCCTTAGTTGTGAAGTTTTTGCTTCTTCTTTTTTTTTTTTTTTTTTTGTATTGGTTTGCATACCCTTAATAAGTACAGCAATGGGGGTTAGGGTATGGTATCAATGAAGTTGATGGTATCTAAGAGAAATGATGATATGTGAGTAGTTGGAAAATGTATAGTTTTGGAAGTTCAAATCTGAGTGGTGTGTTGTTGTTGGGCAGATTAGATTAGTGTCTGGTCTTTTGACCCCTTTTTGTTTGCAGCTCCATCTGTGGATTGGATTTTCCTAAGAATAATACTGATAAATGATAATGATATGTTTATTATGGTATAGTGCCATTTTCTTTGTCATTTGAGTTGTTAATGATGCCCAAATCCTTATTTTGTGAAGGGATATATAATCATCTTCTAAATTGGTACCACTAATCTTGACAAAGGAGAATCCTTATTTTCTTGTAAACTGAAATAATCTGAACTGAAACCTTTCCCACCTCTAGGACACTTTTAAGAAAGCTTCACCCATTTAGAGCAAATTTTCCTGCAGGCTTGAACTCTGGACCGAGCGGCCCATCATAAAAATCCCACTCTCTTTAGCCTCAATTCATGTGTTCTTGAAATGGCCAAAACCGCAAGAGACTGGAATTTTTGTCTACTTTGGTGAACCTGGATAGAAGAAATTAACCAAAATTTTCCGTATTAAAAGGAACGAGTAGTTGAATCAATTATTAGCTGATCTGGTGTTTGTAATAAATGAAAGATCGAATGATGAGAATGATCTCTCTGGATAAAATTTGATGTTCAAACAAGATTGACATTTGAGCAGAATTCCACAATCAAACGTGTCTTAACAATGTTCATTTAAAAGTTGTATTAAAAGCAGAGCAAAGCAAATTTTTTTTTTTTTTTAAGGAAAAACTCTGAAATGTTTTATTTGAAAAGTTGGGACACTTCGAGCTTGCATTCTACGATGGCTACAAATCAAAGTTAAGAAAGTTTTCGAAAACGAAAAGCTATAGAGAGACTAGGAAACCAAAAAACTACAATTACAGAGAACACTATCAACAGAGATATTAAAATCCTCTGTTTCTTGACTGGTTCCGCTCATAGTGTTGCCCTGATCCTCCATTTTGATTGTCCCACCAACCATCTTGAGGCGGTCTAAACACCTCGGGTCTGAAGCCGGGAGGTGGAGGCGGCGGTGGTGGAAGCTGGTGGCTAGGGACGTGTGGCTGCCATTCAGGTATGTCGTCTTCATCGTCATCATCATCATAGATGCTTGCAGATTTTCCATACTTGTGTATGAGCTTTCTTACTTGATCCAAAGACTTAGATTGAGCTGGTAATGGCTGGGGAGAAGTAACTGGCACAACGGAGGAACTGAAGTTAAATTCCGGTAAATCATCATCATCTCTCGAAGCTACAGGACCAAATCCAGGCGGCACATCATCATCATCATCACCAGCAGCAACATGTTTCACACCTTCACCTCCATAACCATGATTACGATTCCTTATAGATGCAACAACAAGAGGTTTCTCTGAGACATGCATTCTCTGCTTCTTGTTTACAGGCAAAACAGAGGTTTTAGAACCAAGAAAAGAAGAAGAAGAATGCTGACGTCTTGAACCGGAACTGGGCTTGGGAACGACGGCTCGTCTCCACACAACAACTCCAACCAATCCAATATCCAAAGACTTGAGCTCATCGAGCTGTTCTTGAGAGATGACTTTGCTTAGCAAATCCAGAGTCTCGCCACGTGTTGGGCAAAGGTAAAGCTCCACTCCTGAGGCTGGCTCTGCGTAGCCAACTCTCTGATCAGCAACGTAGGAATCAATAACCTTAACCAAAAAGAAGAAAAAATATGAGATCTTATAAAAGACATGGTTATGTTCTCAAATGTGTTGTACACGAGAAAAGTTATAGATTTATAAAAAGATTGAATTGATTTCTTTACCTCAATAAGGCTTCCACGCTGGCTCTCAGAAATGCCGTCTTTACAAGCCAAGTACATTACCTGCAATGCCGAAGAAAAAGATAAGTAACCCCAATTTGAAAACAAATACCTCAAAATAATTTACCCAAAAAGATATAACTATAGGTTTCTTTCATCTTTCATGTATGTGTTGTCGAAAGATTCTCTTTAAATTTACCCCAAAAAGTCCTTGTATGAAAATTTAATTGACTATTTTTGCGTGTGGGGTCGATCGATTCTTTGTAAGATTTCCTGATTATTCTATGTCCCCCACACAGACACAGAAACTCACATAGAGAGACATAATAAAACTGATTTGGCATCCATTTTTTTGGATGGATTTAATACAAAATATGACCCGAATCTATAGTTGATGCTCTGCATAAAACTTGTCTCCATTCCTTTGACGCATACATGTGAAGTGTTTAATTGTAATCTCTTTGCTTTCTGGTTTCCATGAAGAGAAGACAGAAGAGTTTTGAGATGGGACAAAGTGAGACGATTAAGGATTATATATAAGAGAAGTAAAAGGGCTAATTCTACTCTTGTATGAAGCAAGAGATAACTCAATGTAATGCTAGTACAATGATAACAAAAGAAAGCTTTGGATACCATTAGGGCACGGGTTCGAGACTTAGGAAGCTCTTGAATAAACTTCCCAAACCCACTTAGCCTAACTCTACCCTTAACTTCCACCATCGCCGGCCACTCGCTCGTCTCTGCTTTCTCACCACTGCCATAGAAAACCCAGTCAGAGAATGCTTACTTACTAAAGATTAGGGTCTGAGGATAATCTTAATACAAATATGAACCAAAACAAATATCCAGGGTGGTTATGCACAAGTATATCTAATAAGAACAGAAACAGATTTCTGAAACTACCATGTAAACTGATACACCTGAAGCATCTTCTTTTTATACTTTTCACAGGTACTACCTAGCTTGCTGATGTTTCAATTAATCTAGCATAGATCTATTCTTAAGCTTATTCAAATATTATCTAATTGAATAAAAAAAAGAGATTGACTGCTAACACAATTCCAGTTCAAGTAACAGTTTACTAATATTCAATCTTCAAAGAAATATTTACTATTAGCATAGAGAAGAAATTGTCAATGCCCAGAAAAAACAGTATCACAAAAATCAAATAATAGTGAGATATTAGTTTAGATGATATGAACTTACCTTTTGAAAATGCCAGTGACAGGGACTACGGAAGACATATTCAGTTGCAGTATTCCATCCCATGCTCTTTCTCCCTTATCATCACTAAGTGCAGATGTTTTCTCAAGTCTAGCGACATCGTCATCAACTTTGACGTTGGCATCAACCTTCGGGGACACTTCATCAATCTTTTCTGGTTTTGGTTCAGGCAAACTTTTATCACTTGGTTCCTTAGGAGATCCTTTAGGAGATTTTGAGTCTGACCCAGCTTCAGAATCACTTTTCTCAGACAGAGACACCTGCATTTCAGAATTACCATGCGGACTTTCAAATGGAGGCTCAGAGTCTAGAGATTCCATGAATTCATCAAGTGATACAATTGGAGGAAGAAACCCCACGTCCTTAAATTCATCATCGATCCCCAAACCTTGCATGGGATCGATCTCTTCAGTTGAGGGAGGAGTTGAGCGTGATTTTTCACTATCAGCTTTTGCTGCCTCATCTTTGAGAGTGGTTTTGACAGAATGAGATCTGGCTTTGGGTCGGCGTTTGCTACGTGACATGATGCCACCAGAGACATCTACCGTGCCCCTGTCAACTGGTTCAATCTCAACCTGGAATTCACCCTTATGTGTTTTCCTCACCAGACTTCTGACATCAATATCTGTATCCTGCAGGACAACCATCTTTGCCATCTCTTCAGCTTTGGCTTGACGCCACTGAGAAAGCTCCTTAGAAGCCAATTCTTCGGCTGTCATAGAACACAACCTCTCAGCAGAAATTTCTTCCGACATAACTCTTTCTCTTAGATCAGGATTGTTCTTATCCTTCAAATTGAATAAGAGGGACCTTCCCCTCTCTCTGTACTTTTTGTTCACACCTCCAAATAGCTTATACAGTTCCATTTCAATTTTAGATGCCAAAAGTTTTGGATCCTGATATGACTTTTCACCACCGGTTCCATAATCCTTCGTCTCGCCAAGATCTGAAACATGTTCCAGAACCCATGAGAGTTCATTACCATGTAAAAGATCATCGTTTGGAAAAATAATATCAGTAAAAGGAACATTATCCCGAGGGAAAACCTCATCATATTGAGACTTAAGTCCATCAGATTGATTAACATCTTCCATCCTGATGTCGACAGAAATCTCACTGTCCTTCTGCACAGAACTTTCAACACCGGTGGGCATTTCTGACATGATCCCTTCGCCTATAGGGACAGTGATGCTAGCAGGTGAGACAGGCTGAAAACTTTGAGTATTCTCTTGAGTAATCACAGGAGTTTCCACAGTCCCTATATTCTCTTTCCCTTTAGGAGATTCGTCATCTTTCTGAACCAAGGCCAACGCAGATGCTAAAGACTCCCTCATTTTAGACCTCACCGACTCATTTACTTCATCCATGGCTTTCACTGACCTTTGCGGTGGGATTTGCTGTTTCTTGCTTACAACAGGCTTTACAGATTTCTGGAGAGGAGATTCTGTTTGCGTGACTTTCTTGCCATGCATCAGTGAATGTAGTGTCTTTTGAGAAAGCATATTAGTAGGAATATGCAGAATCCCATTGCTTGCTGGAGACAATTGCTGTAACCATGGTCTATAGTGCTTGTTTGGTACCTCAGATGCAGAACCACCGAGAGTGGTTTCCGGCGGTGACTTGCGCTTTCCTGCTAGCTGCATGGACCCATTAAACTCAGCCATTTCCATCAAAGTTTGTTTCTTTAAAAAGTTTCGAATCCGCAGAAAGACGCTCAAGATGACATAAACAATCAGCTGCGAGGTAAACAAATAGAATAAGAGTCAAATTTACAGAATCAATTTCTATGCTTGAATCTCAATTAGACAACCAAATCCGAGAAAATCCCATGAAAATCGAAATCGAAAGGGATGACGAAACGTGAAAATTCACCAGAAACACAGATTCAAATCAACAGATAACTGAATTATCAACACGATTGATAATTTCAACTAGATGTATCTACATAAGGACAAGAGACCCAAAAGATTCAACCCTAAAAAGAACACATACATTGACGCATCTCGCGGATAATGGCGGACAGAGATACATACCTGAATACAAGTTTGAGCAAAAGAAAAATAGCGGCTCGTATCGACCGGAGCTTGCAGATGCAGAGATTCAGCGGAGAAAAGGAAGAAACCCTAGGAGAGGAGAGGAGAGGAGAGGAACCAATCCAGATGAGACGGATTAGCGTTTGTGATGATTCTGGAGCTCTCTCTCTCTCTTGTCTCTTCTCTTTGCTTTGTGATAAAAGGAAACTGTGTGCGCGACGTGGATTCCACATATTGGGCTATTGGGCTTCGGAAAAAAGTCTATTGGGCCTTTTTGTTTATCGTCGACTATGAAAAAGCCTGATTACATTTTACAACCTCTCAGCTTGATTTATTCAACAAGTCCCAAATTCAGATATTTGCAACACCTGTGCTCAAACGAGGACGTTCTAGCTGTTAAAAAATTATGGGTTTTGGTGTTTTTTCATACATTATGTCATTTTTGATAATCTTATCGAACGTATCCTCTATCAAATAGTCAAAAGTACCCCATATATGTACATGTTTTCAACCGATATACCAATTGTTTAAATGCAACCGCCCGCTTCCACGCTCATAGAGTTTAAACATGTCGCGAACCCTTTAAGTCTTGGTGTTTGATCTGGTTTTCTTGTTACTTTGTAGGTTTTATTGTTTTAATCTTTACTTATAAAATTTGGGCCATTGCTTCGACTACTAACATAAATTTCAAGGCAGTTCAGTTTCAAAGTGTGTGATTCGAAAAACTTGATCCTAACACGAATTGGTAGTACACAGTAAACTAACAACAACCCGCGAGTCTGAATTTAGAAAGGCAAATTCATATCCTCATTCCTCTCTATAATATCTATTACACTTTTTATTCTCGTAATCACCCGGTCTCTTTAGAAGAAGAACCCAATATATATAGTAAAAAAAGACAACATTTCTTCAGCCTTCTCATACAAGAAAATAGATATAAGCAAGACCTTTCTGCCTTATATAAAACCCTACACCACAACACCCTTTCAGTATTACTCATCTCATTTCAAAAGCATTAGAGATTAAGAAAATCATATATAGTAAAAAAACACCACACACTGGCTTATACGAACAACTTTCGAAATAAAACAATGGTCATCTTACGGCTTACGAGCACTGAGGAGCTTAACATCATCAATCACGGGCCCACACAGCGACGAGAAATCATCGCTTCTCATCGAGTAAAACGTGCTGTAAAACATAACCCTTGTGCGGGTAGAAACCGCCACAAACCGCAGAGAAGCGCGTTTGAATCCTCCTTTCCCTCGCGACTCATAAGGTACCTTTAAAGTGTCTTTTCCCGCAAATGCCTCAACTATCATCGATCCTTGGCAAGCGTTGTTAGCATCTCCAACCGCAAACGAAAGCACGTAAGTCTTTCCCACAACGGTCCTAGCCACCTGAGCGATTGCGCTTTCTTTGCCTGCGACCAGCTCCACGGCTCGACGGCCTTGTGGGACCGAGAAATGCTCGACATCAACGTATTTGATGGCTTTGAGTGATTCGATCATCCAAGCAGGTAAAGGAGAGTGGTCATCTTCTATGAAGGGAGGAACCAGAACGCCGGTTGTTGCGTTTGGGAGTACATAGGGACCTTCTTCAAATCCTCCGTTTTTCAATATATTCTCTGTTTTATATAATAGCAAAACCATATCAGTTAATTTATTTTTCTAAATCTTGGCTAACACATGTTCATGTAACCGGTCCATTGAAATATGTTCTAACCAAAATGACTATAATTCTAAGTGGACATATAAATCGAATCCAACCATGCCAAAATCTTCAAAAATATAATCGAAATTAACAGAAATACTTCATCACATAAGCCAAACCAAAAAATTTATTTACAAGTTGTCTAGTTAGTACATATATTAAAAATAGATTTATGACTTAAAATAATTAATTTGCAATTCTTTTATGAAAACTGAACTAAACCAAACTCAAATTTTGACAAACTAAACCAGACTGTCAAATGTCAACCCCTAAGGCCTAACGATAACGAGTTAACAAGTAGATATAGTTGTAACATGACAGATCACATTGCATAATATAATATATGAAAAAAGATCTTCTTAGAATAATAATAGATACAACTCATATAATAAATGAATACTTACTATTGGTGGGTCGAGGAGGGTATAGAGCTTTGATTGCGACACCATCAATAAGTGGCCCACAAGCAGGATCTTCCTCCTCACCAGGATTATGAATCACGATCTCTGCCACATTACTCTCGGCTTGAAACGCCCAAGCGTAGAGATCCCATCCACTGCTACTGTACACCGTCTGTATAGGAATGACACCCGAGTCAGGTGCCACCGATATGTTGAGCCGTTCGTCTTGGGCACATGTCCTTGCGGCACTGAATGTGAGAGAGTAATACATTCCTTTTGTAACGTTAAGTCTTTGTTTGATTGATGCCTCGTTGCCTAGCCGGATTGCGAATTTTCCGGCCGGGACTACTAGAAGCATGTCTCCTTGTTTTTGACCAGACTTTATGTATTCAACGAAGCCTGAAAGCTCCCAGCTAGGAATCGCGTTCTTGTTTATTACTTGCGTTCCTTTCATGTCCGATGGTTTTGGTCCTAGCTCAAAGTCACCGTTCGGTACCATCCCTGCGTTGGAATTAGAAAAATCGCCATCAGTACAATTAAGAACATAATTTTGATTCAAAGCTCATATAATGTACAAGTTTAGTGTACTATATATGTGCATCGTATATTCATATATAGAGGATTATTATCTAATCACATGTTCTGTTTGAATGTCATATGGCGGTAGCAGTTTGGCAACTTTCTGGCCTTCCTTTACCAGCTCAAGGTTTTTCTTGTTCCGTTTCAAAGAATATCAGCTACATTTTACTCTTAATGGAGCGAGCAGAATTACCTTCAGCAACAAGATTGGCAATTCTGTGGTTTCTTTGGGAAATTTGGAAAGCTCGAAACTCGACTAATTATGCGGGTAAAACCAATGATCCTAACTTTGTTTTTGTAACAGCCTTGGAAGCAGCGGAAGAATGGTTAACTCAACAAACCATCATTGCTCAAGAACATCAATCAACTCTAAGAAGAAGTTTACGGCCAGCTACACGATGGACAAAACCAGCACAGGGACAACTGAAATGTAACCTTCATGCTTGTTGGAAAAAGGAGACGAGGCATTGGGGTGGGGCTTGGCTAGTTCGTGACCACAATGGCGAGGTTCTTTTACACTCACGCGAGGCCTTTATTCCCACGGTTAGCCGCATAGCGGCTGAGCTTAAGTGTATTCTATGGTGTCTTCAAAGTTTACATAATGTGCATATCGATTCATGCGAGATCTGGTCTGATTGTGTTGCTGCATTACGGGCGCTTGATCAGCCTGAAGCTTGGCCTAAATATAGCTCCTTTCTCAATCAAATTGCACAAGTTATACGGGTGATGCGGGATGTGAGTTTTAAAATCTCTTCACCGAAGGCCAATTCATTGGCTAAGGATATAGCTTGCAGCGTTGTACGAGATGGGAGGTATAATTCTTATATAACACGAGGAGGACCGGCGTGGTTACATGATCGGATAGAGGAGAAGCGACGACGGAGCTGTTAGGTTATTACTCTCTCAGGTCTCAGGTCTATAATTTTTGCTTACTCTGTTTTTGTAAGCTTGTTTTTACTATGTTTCCTTGTTATTTGAACTTCTTCAGTTTAATCAAAGACGTTAAAAAAAAAAAAAGAGGATTATTATCTATATATAGTATTTTCCTCAGGGTTTGAACAAAAGCACAACAACATGGATCCGAATAAATATGAGGAAATGGTTTATATCCAAAAGAAACAAAAACTGGCATGTGTCCTTTTTTTTTTTTTTTAAACATAAACTGGGATGTGTCTTAAAGACGGCAAATAAAAGAGAATTTCGTAATTGGACCATTTTTATGTCATTGATTGAAAATGTCCAAAGTGTTTGTGTCAGAAATGGGCATAAAGGTAAATTAGACTCTTGACCGACTTACAAAACAAACAATAATAGTACGTATTAGCGAACACAATGGTCCCGACCAATTTTGTTTTTTTTTTTTGGTTATCGAGCGAGAGTTTACAGAGGAAGTTCTAGGTTCGTTATCTTCTTCCTCAATTCGGGATCAACTTGTAAACTATCCTCTATTAAAAGCTTCAAACATCTTTTCCAAATAAGGTTCAAACTAGGGTGCAAAACATTACTCTAAGACCACTAGACTACTTATTTGAGTTAATTACAAGTCACAACCAAACTTTTTTTGTTAGTGGTTTTTGTTAAAATGTCTCGTTAGAGATTTTGGATAGAAAGTAAACAGAACTGAGCTTTGATTCCCTCAAACAGAAATTAGCTTCTAACGAAATATGTCACCACAAATGCAGTCATATATACTGAAACATGATAAAGGTATGTCTATATATGTTTATGTGCAAGTGATTATTACCGTCGCTGAAGCAGAGGACGGAAGTGATGGTGGCGATTAGGAGAACGAGGAGAAACGAGAGGCTGCCTCCTTTCATTGTGAACGACCAAAGTAAAGAGAAGAGACTAGAGACAGGTTTTACTAAATTATGGGAAATTGGGAGAGGAGCCAGCAGCTTATATGGATTCTAACTTGGAAAATACCTCTAGATTTTACTACAATTTACGGATTTATGCCACTGATGTGATTCACGTATCCACGTGGGGCCGTGACTCATTCTTTTGGGGTTTAGCCGAGATTTCAGAAGAGATCAGAGAGGGTTATTCCTGGAAACTCCTTTCTTTTCTCAATGATTTTGTCTGCCGTCAGATTACTATCATCCTTAAACAAAAAAAAGTTTTAAGGCTAGTACAAAACACCTTTTGCACATACCAAATTATGTTTATAATATGGTTTTTATAGTCTTCAATTTTCAAACATAAACTGGGATTGTTACTATTCACACATTATCAATTGATGCCTGTTCATGTTTGAAAATTGAGGACTATAAAGTTAACGCCAAACTGCCAATGAACGTATTTCCTTTTGTTTTTTTTGAAATTCATCATTTTACTGCTATTTTTTTTTCTTGCATGGTCGTGGACAAAATAAAACATTAGACAACTTTTGCATCTTATTTGTGTTAATTAAAAGAGTATTAACAAAAGATTGTGTTGATCAATGATCATATCCACATGTATGGTCAATGTTTCAACACAAATGCCAACTCATGGAGACATTTGATCTCGTATCCCCATTATATGTCTTTATACCTACACTATATTATTTATTATTAAGATAAAATTCAACTATTAACCATAAATCATTACTTCGAATCAGTCTGGAGAATATTTTTTGAGTAGAATGCAATGAGTGAAAAGGGTATTTTAATTTGGTGATTTAGTCATTTGGTCGAGATACAATGGATATGCGGTGGAATTGCTACGAGTAGGATCGTGTGAGCTTTCTTTGTCACTAAAGTTATAAGAAGCTGTTGGATCTCACTTTTTTAGATTTGCATGTAGATTTATTTTATTTGACAACATTTGAGAGTTATTGTCTTTGTTCAAGCTTTTTGTTTTCTTTATCTTTTAACTTACAATTTAAAAAAAAAAAAAAATCAACTGTGGTGCCTGACTGGTCAGCTATACCGCCGCCTATAACATTGTTCGGCTAAAATCTGGACGTGGCCTTAGCAGTTAGCATTGCGTCTTGTTCTCATATTTTCTTACAATGCTTTTTCCAATAACCTATTTCGTCTTTTAGCTTGAGTTAAACTTAAAACAGTATAATTAAAATAATATATGGTTTTTTTTGTCGGCTTAAATAATATACTCTACAGTCTACATTACAGTATATGTTTTTTTTTCTTTGTCGGCATACTCCCTAATATATGCTTAAAATAGATCATATATATATCATAAATTTTGTATTTCAATTATATTAATCATTATAATCATTTATATGTTTAAAAAATTCGCCTTGTTTTGATATAGAATCGTGGAATAATTGAATCTTAGAGGGCTATGAATTGTATTAGATTAATCGTGGTAAATAATTTTTTTTTCAAAAGTTAAATATATTTCTTTCATTCATTAATCACGCAACGAAGCCGAACATAGGTAAACTTGTGAGTTAATATGAAACATACAAAATTTTGGAAAACCTACTCAATTATTATGATCGCAAAAAGAGTATATATATAATTTTCTTTACTTAAGAAAAAAGTTTATTCTTTACAGGTGACCATAAATAATTCTCAGTTACTCTTGGTCAATAACATTAAAAAGGATAAACTACATTTGCCCAATTTTTCTTAATGCATATAAAATAATCTGATGAGCAATGAGTATAGAGACAAGAAGGGTAAATGAGAGAAGAAGAGGAACGTGGGTGGGACCTTTTTGAAAAGGAGACGGCAGAAATAAGAGAAACAGAGCGCTAAAGCCACCGTCGTGCCACTGTCTCTCCTCACCCTTCTCTCTTATTACATACAACACTTATTTTACCCTCTCACGGCCCCATGTCCCGACTTCACCACTTATAACAAAGCAGACACAATTTATGGATCATATAATATATCATTCAATGACAAATTATTATAGATAAATATCATGTATCGTTTTTTTATGATTTGAAGATGCCAGTGTGCATTAATCCATTAAGAAAGTTAAGAGTGTGGGCATGTGACTGTGGAGAGTCTTCTGCTTATTTCCGGTTGCGGCTAACGTCCCACTTGACTCTGTCAATTGACGTCAACTTCTCAGGCACTGACGGAGGAAAATCTGTCTTCCATCCATATTTAACGGCGGCTTAAACGGCTCTCTTGTCATGTGGCCTTCCTATGAAAATCCAAAAACCACGCTCGTCATATCCAATATTTCGAACCACGTGCCAACACACAACGAGCCTCTACAGTCTCGTAACAAATTCAAGATTAAAAAAATAAAAAAAAAATCATAGAAATTAATCATATGACTAATGAGTATTATTTCCCTTTATTTAATGAGCTACTATATAGTTTCTTAAGAAAAAAGAAAAAGAAAAAGAAGAAGATATTATTCGGTCATATTGGCTAAGTTCAAATTTTCCTAGTATCACCACAAAATCTTTTTAACTAAACAAAATTTTTATATTCAACTGTTTTACAGCTAAATGTTAATCAATTCATAACCATAAAAAATAAAAAAAAACAACTACAGAAGACAAGGAGGATAAGCTCATCAATATTTTTAGGACCCTCGTGTGAATGTGACTCACATGGGAGTGCCTTCACTCTTTCACTCCATGCCTATCCTTTTTTAGACACACTTCTCCACATTGATCGCATAAATTGCAAAATCATTATAATAATTTATAGCCATTATAATATATAGTTTTCGTGTTGTGGGCATCGATCTTTTGTGTTTAAATGATCTAAGCTTAAGGAGTACTTAATTAGATGGCTTCCTAAATCATATTCATTAATGCTTCCTATAGCTACTTTCAATATAATGTGAAAGATTGATTGTGTGCAAAGAAATCAAAATTGACAGATACAAAAGAGAAAAGTCGTTTTGTAGCCGCCGGAGTGTTGGAATCAAAAGAGTTTAGGCTTGGGCTTGGGCTTGGACTTATGTTTGGGTCCATCAAAAAATTTCGTCAACTAAACCATAAGTAACCTATAAAAGGGAAAGTAGACTTTAACTTTTCTATAATTCTGCTAAACCCTGACATATCAGAGATAAGGGTAAAGTTTTGTTTTCTGTTGTATCTTTTGGTCTCTCTGTTCGTCAGAGTATTTCTTTTTTGTAAGTTCATCTTTTCGTTTCTTCTTTGTTTATCTTGTGTTTGTTTCTCGCTTCTCAGGTAATGAAATTGTTTCTCTTTCATAATAAAAACATAATCCATTCTCTCTTACTTATTATCTTTATCTCTTTCTAATAGGGGGAATTTGGTTTCGTTTCGTTTCCTGAATTATTATTTTGGATATACACTGTACACATATCTTTCAATAAGTTCTATTTAACTTTCGAATTTTTAATATATCTAATTCATGTTTATTATTGGATGCAGAAAGAAAATTATATATACACATTCATCCTCATTCGTTCAGTTCATCTCTTTTTCTTTTCTCGATTGTTGGGACTTTCTTTTTACTTTTTTCTTCTTAAGACTTTGTGACAGAGACATGGCTCAACATTACGCGAACCAAAACGTCGACACGAGATACACCAAGATATACGTGGGAGGTTTGCCTTGGAAAACAAGAAATGAAGGTTTGAAAAGCTACTTCCAACAATTTGGAGAAATTATCCATGTTAATGTGGTTTGTGATAGAGAAACGGGACGATCAGAGGGTTATGGTTTTGTCACGTTTAGAGATGCTGAATCTGCAACGAGAGCTTGCCAGAATCCAAAACCGGTCATAGACGGACGAGAGGCCAAGTGCAACCTTGCTTATATTGGTGCTAGGGTTAACAATAACCAAAACGCCCAACAAGTAGAAGTCTATGTACCCAACTGGAACCAGTTTCAGTTTGCACCAGAATATGATCCCTACACACTTTGTTGTTATTGGACACAACATGGTTCTTACTGCGTGAACCAACATGGTCCTTACTACTTCAACCAACCTGGCTTTTGACTTATGAGCCATCTCTTTCGTTGTTGTTTGAGACACTAGTTATTGTTCTTTTTGCCAAACTCAGGCTGTTTAGTCTGCATGACTCTAATCTAAGTTAAATTTAATTATGTTTTACTTTTTTATATATTCAACAGAGAACAAGATCTAGTTTTTCAATCCCTGTTTATTCTAGAATTGTTTACCAAATTTGGCCTTATATGCATTTATACTGTGGATTCTTTTGGCTTTGAATGTGAACATGACTTTTTAAAGGGTTGAATTCAGAGACAGTCCAACCTTTTTTGAAGGTTCTTTCACACTTAAATCATTTTCAACCTCATAAAATAAACCCTACAAGATCTGTTAAAATCTTGAAATCAAAATCCTACAGATTTAACATCTTCATCAACAATGGGAAACTGTCTAAAGCCTCTCAAACCTTCTTCAGCTTCTCCCAAGCCTCTCATCAATCCTCCAATTTCAGGTACATCTCTGTTTTCATATGCACTTTACTTTGTTTACATATAAAATTTAATTACGTATGTTATGTATAAAAAAGGGGAGTCAAAAAATGAGTATTTGAGAGAGTTCAACTTTGCGAAATTGAGCAAGGCAACAAAGAAATTCAGACAATACATGATCATAGAAGGTAATGATAACGGATGTACTCGAACATTCTACCAAGGCTACATCAATGAGACAACCTTTGCTCCATCAAGAACTGGAATCGCTGTCTCTGTCTTGGAATGTTATCAAGATAATTCGCAGACTCTACAAGATTGGAAGGTTACCAAAATCTGTCCATTATTTTTAAAGTTTGTCTTCTTAATATAGATATGTACTTATGCATCTGATGGGCACAAAAACTATTGAGTTGCAGGAAGAAGTGAAGTCTCTTGGACGTATTTCTCATCCCAATTTAGTCAAACTTTTAGGCTATTGTTGTGAAGAAAATAAATCATTCTTAGTTTTCGAATACTTGCATAAAGGAAGTTTGGACCGTCATATTTTCGGAAGTTAAGATCTCTTCTAATCAATGGGTCCATTTCTAAAAATCAGTATACTCAATTTTGCTTACTTACATACAGTTTCATGTATTCTCAACAGAAGAAGAAGAAGCATTGCCGTGGGAAATACGGGTTAAGATAGCCATAGGAGCAGCTCAAAGTATTGCATATCTACATTCGGTCAAGAACAGCGCGCTTTATCGAGAACTCAGAATGTATAACATTTTGCTTGACGAGGTAATGACTTTAGACCACTCTTCTTGCTGTTCTTATTGTTTATAATCTTACAATAGTAATGAAACATGAACTTTTGGATTTCATTAGAACTACAACACAAAATTGTTCTATCTTGGATCAAAGAAACTATGTTTGTTAGAAGAAAGTGTGACGACTGCATTCATAGGAAGAACTGTGTATGTACCTCCTGAATATATAATTTCAGGTATACCAAAATCTTAAGTTTTGTTAACAAAGACTCTTACGTATTCTTTCGTGGTTCGATGTTTAAGACAATTGTGTAATGTACGTAGGTCATTTGGGAACGAAGAGTGACGTGTATACATTTGGTGTGATCTTGTTTGAGATTTTAACTGGTTTGAAAGCTTCAGATGGTAAAAAGAATGAGAACATGCAAAGCTTACATGTCTGGACTAAACCTTTCTTGTCTGATCAATCTAAAATCCGGGAAATCATCGATCCTCGACTTGGCAATGATTATCCTGTGAATGCAGCGACGCAGATGGGAAAACTCATCAAAAGATGCATCAAGTTGGACACGAGAAAACGACCATCGATGCAACAAGTCTTTGATGGTTTGAATGATATTGCAGAGATTAAAGATTAGTTAATGTGTATTAGAGGTAATGAGATTTGATGTTGAACAAGTTTGGAATAAAAGTTTGAAAGAGAAAATCTCCCTCTATGGCTCATCAACTCTTTTCTTTCTTTCTTTAAATGAGTCTTAGAAATATTTCCACAAACTTGCCTTATATGGATACAGACATACCCAAACTTGCCTTCTACGCCTTTTTCCTTGTTTGGCCTGAGTGAGCAATTGGGTTGAATTCTGAGGCCAGTCTAAACCTTTTTTTTCTTCGGTAGCTTCTTTAATAAGTTACAAACTCTTACTAAAACCGTACAAAGATTTGTTAAAATCTTGAAGCCAAAAATCTACATATCTTTAGTCATCTTCCTCTTTCCTTCATCAACAATGGGAAACTCTCTAAAGCATCTCAAACAACAACTTCCCTCACTTGCTCCCAAGCCTCTCCTTATCCCTCCAATATTTTCAGGTGAATCTCTGTTTTTAAAAGCACTTTACTTTTTGTTTACGTAAACTGTCTAAAATCTAAATGCGTTGTTCGATTTATATGTAATGTATATGAAAAGTGGAGCCAGAAAACGAGAATCTGAGAGTCTTCAGATTCGCGGATTTGAAGAAAGCAACGAAGAAATTCAGACAAGACAGGGTCGTAGAGTGCGAGGATGGCTCTGTTCGAAAATTCTACAAGGGCTACATAGATGAAACCACATTTGCACCATCAAGAAGAACTGGAACCGGAATCGCTGTTTCTGTCATGGAATGTGATAGTTCACGCTCTCTACAAGACTGGATGGTAAGCAAAGTCGGTCCGTTTTTACGCAATATCGATTCGATACCTGTCTCTTAATTCCTTGTAATATGTCCTGTCTACTTATCTGATGGGCACAAAATCTATGAGTTTCAGGCAGTAGTGAGGTCTCTTGGACATATTTCTCATCAGAATTTGGTCAATTTCTTGGGTTACTGTTGTGAAGACAACAAACCACTCCTCTTGGTTTTTGAATACTCGCACAAAGGAAGTTTGGACCGTCACATTTTCGGAAGTTAAGATCTCTTCTAGTTAATGGGTCCATTCTAAAATAATATAAACAATTTTTGCATTACATATAGTTTCATGTTTCCCTCAACAGAAGAAGAGGCTTTGCAATGGGAAATACGTGTTAAGATAGCCATTGGAACAGCTCAAGGTCTCGCGTTTCTCCACTCGATCAAGGACAGCCCGCTAAACCGAGAACTCAGGATGCATAACATTATGCTTGACGAGGTGGTAATGGTTTTATTTCCATTCTTATTCTCTCTTTTTGTTTATGATCTTAGAAATTAATATCTAAGTTGCGATTTCATCAGCAATACAATGCAAAACTGTTTTATCTTGAATCAATCAAACCAAGCTTGGTAGATGAAGGTCGCATCGCGGGAAGATTTAGATACCTAGCTCCTGAATGGGGAACGTTCGGTACACGAAAATATTAACTTTTGTTTTACAAATTCAGATTAATCTTTCGTTGTTCAACGTTAAAGACAATTGTGTAATGTATGTATTAGGTCTTTTGGATATGAAGACCGATGTTTACATATTTGGTATGATCTTGCTTGAACTTTTAATGGGTTCCAAGGATAGAAAAAAATTCATGAAACAGCAAGGCTTAGATTTCTGGACTACATCTCTCTTGCCCGATAGTTATAAGATTGAGGAAATAATCGATCCCCGACTTGGGAACGATTATTCTGCGAATGCGGCGACACAGATGGGCACACTCATCAACCAATGCACAGCGCATGACACAAAGAAACGACCATTGATGCAACAAGTTTTGGATGGTCTAAATTATATTGCAGAGATTAAGGACTAATGTGTAGAGATACTAATAGTTGGCACTGAAAAAGACATTGTAATAATTTAAAAAACCAGTGTATGTGCTGAGACTAAAATTGAAAGAGTCGGTGGTTACTTTTATAGCAGATTTTCTGTAACTGGGTAGCCAAAAAGAACTAAAATATAATCTGTCATTGTAAACTATGACAAAGAGAGAAACAAAACTGGAGCCTATGAGATTTCGGAAAAAGTTAAAAGACTCTTACATGTTTTGCTGGGATATAACGTAAGCTATTGACGATGTTAAGATCACGAGCATTGCAACGAGAATGTGCTTGAACCCAAGAGCTCCAACATCTAACCTCCTTACACTTCCAATATCTGATTTTGAACCTGTTTCTTCCTCCTACAAAAAGGTGACCACAGTTACTTTTTTTACAAAGTCTTTAAAGAATAACCCAAGATTAGATTCATAATATTCAATTGTTGGACTGCCTGCAAAATCAGATTTTTTGTAGGAAAGAATTAAGTTACCTCTGGATTAGTTAGTGAAGTGACAGTGGCTTGAAGTCTACTTCCTTGATGGCAAGAAGAAGCATTCTGTTCCGACTTTGGTGAAACTTCACTTCCATTGCCACTTTCCATGTAACCAGTTTTTCCAATCTTTTTCAACTTCACCATCAACACACAATTCTCTCTTGACAGGTTAGTTATCTGCAAATAAGTCACTATATCTAAGCATCCACTGTGATGATGATGAAGCTACAAGGACATGAACTAACAGCGAACTGGGTTTTATGAATATGTTAATCTCTTAATACCTGTTTATGAAGTCGTTCTCGTTCAGCAGCTAGTTGCATGACCAGTTTTTTCATGATCTTGTTATGTACCGCGATATCTTTGGCGGTTCGCAATTTTCTTTCTTCTGCTTGCTGTAAATATTTCTCCCCTTCTTTCAATCTACCCTTAAAGAATTTCAGTTCTTCATTGAGATCTGCGTTAGACTCAGATACCATGATCAACTTCTCTTCCGTATAGTCAGCCCTGTTTTCAGCCTTCACAACTTTTGATTTTAGATCCTCAATCACATCCTCCATATCAGAAACAGTAGAATATAACAAGTTCTGCTTTTCTTTACTTGCTTCAACAGCTGCAACTGCATGTTCTAGTTGAAGATCTGAGTCCCTCAAGTGTTTCTCAAGCGATGCTAACTTCTCCAGAGTGAAGCCCTTGTCTCTGAAAGTCCCCAACTCGTCTTGAAGCTCTTTTTTGCTTTCTTCTAGGATTTTGCACTTGGATTCTGCTTCCTCAGCCCTTGCTTCAGTGTTGGCTAATTTATCTTTCAGTTCCTCGTTGATACGTTCAAGATCTGTTATCAGAGCACCAGAAGTAGCATCCGCATCTTCTGTTTGAAGCCCATATTCATTCAGTTGTTCCTCCAGGGAGCTAACTTTTTCACTTAATGTGGAATTCTCAGTGTTCAACAGAATCAATTTTTCCTCAGCCTCTCTCAAATTATCTTTTAAGCCTTCTGTTTGTGCCATAAGAAAGTCAGTAAGTCTTGCATTGCTGCTATCAAGCTTGTGCAAGGCGCATTCCTTAGCTTCTAAACGTTCCTTTGAATCAACAAGCTCAGACTTCAAGTTGTCTTCCCGCTTAAAAGAGCCACTTAGATTGAACTGAAGAATCTGGAGTTTTCCAGACATCTCCTTTGACGTTCCCTTAAAGACTTCAGCAGCATTATCTGCCTCAAGCCACCTCGAGAAGGCATCTTCGGTTACTTCTTCCATGTAGACAACATCCTGCTCAGAAGAATATAGTTTCATCTCTAGTTCTCGTTCAGTATTTCTTGATTCACTTAGTTTCTTCTCAAGTTCCATCTCCTTAGCCAAAGATTTCTCAAGCATCCTCAAAACGTTCCTTTGCTGATCAGCAGTCTGCATATTGATCTTAGCGCTCAAATCACCAAACTCACCATCGTTTTGAGACACTGAAGCTTGCCCTCCAGACCCTGCCAACAAAAAGTTAGATAATTTTCATCAAAGCTTGAGAATTTTCTCTACCAAGTCATCACAACAAGGTCAAAAAGAAAGCTAAATTGGTTATGTTTGTCACTTACAGCTTCCTTGTTCATCCAAACCAGAAGATAACCTCTGAAAGTTAGAAGATTGCTTCTTCATTTCCACCACTTGATCCATTAACTGACCCAAAGATTGTTCAGTGTCATGCAATTTCCCTTCCAAATCCAAGAAAGCTTCTCCATCATGTTGAAACGGAGATATCATGACACGGGCACTTTGAATCTCGTTGTGGAGAAAACCAAGAAGCGATTCAAGTTCTTTCACCTCTGAATTGAGAATTGAAGACAAGAGATCAAACTCCAACGCCTTCTCAGCAGAATCATCATCATCATCACCATTACTCGAAGGTTCTTCTTCTTCTTCTTCTTTCTTAGAAACAAAAGACTCAAAATCATTTTCCCTCGTGCCGAGTTGCATAGTAAGAAGACTTAAATTAACCAATTTCTCAGAGACAAAAGCAAAATCCAATTCAACTTTTGTCAGAACTTGGCCTGCACTTGAAAGTTCAGGATTCATAACTTGCCCAGTAAGCGAGAGATCTTCAAAAAAGCTTTCTTTTGTTGAGCTTGGCTCTGGTACGATGCTGTCGTTGTCATCGACAGAGACAGTTCTATCATGCTCCGTTTCTGTTTCCATCTTTCAATTCAACTGCAACAGAGAAAGTATCATCATTTTGTCAACAAATTGAATTAAAAGATCGGAAAATTAGAGATGCAACGATCATGGGTTCTGCTAAATCACAATGAATCTTCGATTCCTGAAAAATCTAGGTAAAAGTTCCGATCTTTTACTTGATTCCGATCGACTTATTTGAGATTGACACAAAATGAATGAAAAAAGAGAAAACTTACAATTAGATTCGAAACCACACGATTCAGAGGAAAGAAGCGAAATGATCGAGAGCGAGCCAGAGATCGAGAAGAAGAAGATTCGTAATTAAACGAATATTGACAGTAACTCTTTAAAGGGAAGCTTTTTATTAAAGTGTCGAAAATACATGTCTCTGTTCTATATTTTGTTTGTTTCCAGATTTGGGACATGTAACTGTTGTTAACACCAAATAGAAAAACTAGTAGCTGTATATTAGGGACTTGACAACAACAACAACAAATTGGGGAATATGGAAATTGAGAAAACCGCGTAAAAAGTATTAAATTTATTTCCATCTCTGCATTTACAACATACATAGCAGATTGCTCGTCCGACATCAGGATATCAAATTTGTTCTTGAATTCCGAATGTATTATCTACAAATTTTGTTTAAGAAACTCAATAATTACACTGATCATTCACTCCTCTTCAAAAGTCATAATTATATGATGCCTCTTTTAAGTCTCTTAGCTTCTTGTGAAGGTTAAGCTAGCTCATGAGAAGCAATGCTTCCCGAGTTCGTCCCAAAAGACTCAGAGCGGTTGCTGCTATGTGATGTCCAGTTAGCCCGGCAAGAGCAAGCTGCTCCCTAGGAGAAGCTTCTTCGATGTAGCCATCTGGTAACACAATCGGTCTCCACTACACAATGTTTATTCCCAAAAAGAGTAAATTAGTAACCCAAAACCAAAAAGAAGAAAGAGATGAGAACATGCGGTTTTGATTTGTCTCTCTACCTTGATATTCCCATCGAGCTGGCCATCGAGGGCTATGAACTGCGCCACATGAGAACCGAACCCTCCAACACAGCCTTCTTCGACAGTGATGAGGATTTTGTGGTTCTGACAAAGATCACGCACAAGCTTGATGTCTAGCGGTTTGCAAAATCTTGCATCAGCTACAGTCACGTTCAAACCCAGTTTCGAGAGAAGCGAGTGAGCATGAAGACAATTCTGAACCATGGCTCCATACCCAAGTAAAGCCACATCTTGACCTTCTACGAGAACTCTTCCTCTTCCGATCTACTCTAATATGATAAAGCAGTTCTTGTGTCAGCACGGTCTGCTTTTGCAACCAAAAGATTTGAAGATTAGATTGGAACTTACTTCAATTGGTAATCCAGTGGGGACAAGATAATTCCTGTTGACGATGGAGCCTCTAGGGAACCGAAAACATACTGGGCGGTCAGTGACATAAGCTGCAGTTGCAACCATATTTACAAGCTCATCCTCATCGGCTGGAGCCATGGCTATCATGTTTGGTAAGGATGACATGAAAGCTATGTCAAAAGCTCCACATTGCACAGGACCATCGGATCCAACAAGCCCTGCGCTTGTAATAACAAATCGCACCGCCTTTCTCTGCCGATCTACATCATGGACCACCTAAAGAAACCATCAACTACACTAAGAACATTTGCTTCTGATGAAAAACCTTTTAGACCAATCTTACTCTGTGCTAGAGGAAAGTGAAACCTGGTCATAAGCTCTTTGTAGAAAAGCAGAGGGAATAATACAAAAGGGCTTGAGACCTCCAGAGGAAAGACCAGCAGAGAATGTGACAGCATGCTGTTCAGCCATTCCGACATTGAAAAACCTGTCTGGAAATCTCTCCTGAAATGTAATAAGTGATGCATCCATCTCCATTCCTGCATGAACTACAACAATATCTCTATCCTTTTCTGCCTCCATCACCAATGCCTCAACAAAGCAATCACTGTAAGTGCGTCTGTCTGAGACCAAAAAAAAACTGCAAAGTCAAGATTTAGATAAGCATATATTCTCAGAAAAAATAACATAAGCAGACAGATATACCTTTGACCATGATGTTCTTTCCCGTTTCTGCATCTCGATTTTCCTCTGTGATCACGTGGACCAGCACAGGACCCATTGAATCTAGAGAAGATACTTCTCGGAGAACACAAACTAGATCTTCAATGTTGTGTCCATCAACAGGACCAATGTAGTACAAACCAAGTTCTTCAAAAAGAGTTGATCCTGTTGGTCCAACCATACCTCGTGCATACTCATCGACTTTGGCTGCCCATTCATACATGCCCTTTCCAATTCTTTTCGTCATAGACTGTCAAAATCCACACCAAAAACAAACATTCTAATAACATTAAACACCAAATTTCCAGCCTCAAAATTGTAAGCAACTAAAGTTTCATAAAGAGAGTATGGAAAATGCATACTTTTGCTAATTCTCTGAATTTCCGGAAAATTTTGCTAGATTGGATTTTGCTCATGATGCTAGAAAGTGCGCTGATGGATGCCTTGGATCCCTCCTCCATATTTGGATGTAAAGAGTGACGGCTATCATTTAGTATAACAATCATATTAGAATCCAAGTAACCAGCATTGCTCATTGCCTCATATGCTTGACCAGCAGTTATTGTCGCATTGTCTATCACAGCAACAACTCTGTCCCTCTTTCCTTTTATATCTCGAGCAACCGCTAATCCTAAGAAACAGAAATAAACGTTTAGCATACCATATCGATAATAGCATTCATTAGCTAAGTCTACTGCTAGTGCTTGTTTCACGAAAAAGGCAAAAAAGTAAAAAGCTAAAACTATAGGTAACTGACTCTTTAAGGGTGACTAAAATATTACCGAGCCCAGCAGAAGTACTGTTGCAGCCATGACCGGTCCCAAAAGAATCATATTCACTCTCCAATTGAGAAGTGACCCCAGAAGTACCGTTCTTTTGTCTCGATGGTATTGCAGACCAGCGTCGTGTCAAGACTTTATGTGCATATGTCTACAAAGGACAAAAAAAAGCTGTTAACACCACAGTAAACAAATCAAACCCTTCCACCAAAACATAAGAAAATCAGATCATCAATCCCTTGAATTTTCAAAACATAAGCTTACTTGTTCCACAGCATCCCACAATATATTGTCAACCGGGGCACGAAAAACATAATGCAGAGCAAGGGTAAGCTCTATAGCAGCAAAGCTAGGGTTCATAGACTTTTGGGTCTTCTTCCATAATACAGAATGAAGCTCTGTACGGATTTCATCAGCTAATAGCTTCAACTCCTACGAGAAGAAAAACCATCCTCATTAACCTCAATCCTTTTAAGTTTTCATTCAACTACATACGGCATAAGAACATGAAGAAATCCACCTTAACACTCAAATTCTTCAACTGCAATGGAGTCTCAATGGTGTCTAGTATTGGCGTCTCAAATTTCTCATCGCAGTATTCATCAGTATTTGGCAAAGAACAACATACCCGAGCTCGATTTGAACATTCCTGGATTTCAAACGCCTACATTAGGAGAATCCACCAACTAAAGACGATCTAAATCCGAAGCAAAAAGGAAGAAGCAATTGATAGAATTCTTGAGACCCAGATTGAAAGTTTGGCACTTTTGTGTTATTGGCATAAACGAGATTAAGAGAAATAACCAAAGAAGGTTCCTTTACCTTGTGAGTGGAGCTTGGAGCTGAGAATAAGCTCTTTATGGAAACATCAACTTTACATGGAAGCGAGGAAACAGTAACATCTGAGCTCAAATTAAAATTCCCGTAAAATCGAGCTGAGATTCCGATTTGGTAACCAATCGAAGCCGAACCCATGAAGAGAAAAGCCTCGAAAATCAACTACAACGGACGACGAAGATAATTCTGAAGAAGAAATGAAAACATACAAGCAATTGTAAGGAATCTTCTTCACGCGAATTCGAAATAAATGCCGCGAAAAACGCCTAAAATGTTGAGATGTGGAGAACGGAGAAGCTTTATCGAGAGAGAGAGAGAGAGAAGTCACAGAATCCAGAGGAAGAAGAAGAAGAAGAAGAAGAAGAAGAAGAACATTTGTGCTAATGATGAAGCCTAATGATATAAATTAAAGCCCATAAAGTTGACTTTTGATAAACCCAATTAGATTTTAGTTGGGCCTAATCCATAATTCTGATCTTTTATTATATATTCTTTGTAATTAGGATATTTAAAAAGCATCTATAGAACAATAACTTTTAAGAGATCAAATCCAAAGATGTGTTATTTGCAAGATTGTTACAATCTTTGACACGATTATATATTTTATATTTCAAATATAATGATTTAAACCATTCAATTGAATACGAGGTTGATGTTGCATGTGGTTGAACCACAGGAAGAAAATAACTCATTCTTCATCTCAAGCTTCTTTTGTGGATCCAACTTTGAAGCAATCAAGATTCTCGCAGTCTTTAATCCGCAAGATTATTCCAAGATATATGTCGCCAAACCTCTCTCTTCTTCTGTTGGCCAGTAAGTTGTCCACTTGAAAGTTTGGAGACTCGACAACAAACATTGAGGGACATCAATCATTTGCTTCCAACAAACCAATGTATCCCTACTATCTCGTACAAATATTGCCTTACGAGATAATCGTAGTCTATCGAATAAACTTACACTGAGCTCGAAGTCACGTAGTTTGGGAGAACCTTTGAGTAACCAGAATAGTAACTTGGACCAATATGTTTTACTTATGCGAAACTTGAGATGCTCAAGCTCATAATTAAAGATAAAATCATCACCATATTGATCCTGCATGTACACAAGTAGAGTTTAGTAATCTAAATGATAAAGTGAGATTGAAGAGAAGTGAAGTAATATTACCTCTACATTTTTGACTTGTAAGAAAAACGAAAGACGTTTGACAGAAGAGACAGACTTGAGAAGCTTCTTGACATCAGGAGATCCACGAAGAGCGATATCGGCCTCTTCCAACTTAGGCATATTCACAATTAAACACGAGAGACTCTTACTAAATAACCTAGCTTTGAAATACTTCAAAGAAGGAGTGTCTATCACATACTCATCAGAAGTACACGCATCAGAAATCTCAAATGATAGCAATGATGGGATGGTCACAGCAAAATTTCTCACATTGTCACTACTACATCGTTTCACAACCAGATCTTCGAGAAGAGAGCAGTTGGATAAAAGCCGTTGAAGAGATTCTTCATCTGCATATATCACACCTAGAAGGTGCAAAGTTTTCAAGGAGGGGAGACAAACCATGCTAGGAACGTCCACGAAAATCTCGTATTTCAGTACCAATGTCACTAGAGATTTGCAAGTATACAAACTACTCGGCAGTAATGCATAGGTCCTCAATTTTCTCATATAAAAAGTAACACTTAGCTCACGCAAACACCGTGAAACTGCAATGTCAACCCAAAATTTGATATATTTAGGTTGAAACGATGAACAGGAAGACTTGAGACACAAGCTCTCTATTACGGGAGTTCTATGTAATGGCAGATTCCTGTCAATAAAAAGCTGCATCCTCTTGTTTTTCTCCATATCACAATTGATGGTGTCATCGTACTCAAGTTTTGGCACCCGCATCCAAAGAAACCTCCATTGCTTTGACAAAATACTCGTGCTTACAGCGACTTTTGTTGGAAGAAACGATAAGATCTTCACGAGCAATTCATCATCAGAAAACCCACTGATTTTGTCCATATCTTACGTACACAAACCCACCCAAGAAACTTGAGTATGAGCCACACAGAAAAACAGTAACAACCAAAGGTAGAGACGCAGAGAATAACTGAAACGACCAACGGAACCAAAGAGAATAATTGAAACGACCAAGGGAACCAAACCCTAGAAAATCCTTCAATTTGTTAAAACCCTAGGAACGAAACTAAAACAGGATTGCAGTTACCTTACTGTGGTAAATAATTAAAAAGTAAAATAGCAATTACGTTTTAACATTATTAATTTTTTCTGCAAATATTCTAGTTTTTATACACTAAAAATCTTTACTTTGTGACATAATGAAGTAAAATCTATGAAATATGTCATAATGTAAAGATTTTTAGTGTATAAAAACTAGAATATTAACAAAAAAAATTAATAATGTTAAAAGGTAATTGTTATTTTACTTTTTAATTATTTACCACACAAAAAAAAAAAGTTTGGACATAGCTACATAAACCGCAGTCGTTATTCAGATTTTTTTTTTCCATTTTATGTGGCAAAGTGGACCAGATGGACGCAGACTGGCGTGCGTTTGTAAAACTGTACAAGTTAATACAACAATATAAAAGAAATTCACGCTAGTTTTTTTTTTTTTCTTTTTTTCTTTTCAGTTGTAACTTAATAAAACACAAATCGTAATGAAATACGTTTTATATACAAATTAATATATCACCAATGACTTTTATTTTGAAAATTCGTTAAATTTTGTTCAATTAACAGAATTAACAAATAGAAAGAAAAAAGTAAAAATAAATAAATATTCAAATACCGTTCAATTCAGGCTATTCACTATTTCAGCTTATCGAAGGAGAAGGAAAACAAATTAACGCGTTTTTTGGTTTTGTCTTTTTGTACATTTACTCAATAATAATAATTGTGCCCTATACGTCTCAAAGTTACCATTTAGAGCCTCTGTATTTATAATCAACTAAGCAAGAAGTCAATATTTACTAAATTTGACAACACGTTTTCTGAAATTGTTTACTTGAATCTTACAGAAAAACTTCTAATCAACTAAGCAAATAAGTCAACTTACTAAATTTGACTCTTAGCACTTTTATGAGATTCTTTACTTGAGACTTAGAATTTTTTTCCCAAACTTAGTAACTAGTACTGCTGTCATCATATAGTGGTTGTTTCTTTTTCTATCTAAGCTCAAAGAATTTTTTTTAACGCGTTGAATTATTTGACCTTGCAATAACTTTTAAACCTCTTTAAAATCCAACAAGATGTCTTGAAACCAGAAGTAAGTATCTTGTGAATTCCATTCCGATTTCGAGAGCCAAAGAGATTGGAGAAACAAGCCTTGAAGAAGCCCTTCATCATCAACAATGGGAAACATTGTAAAGCCTTTCAAACAACAACCTTCTTCATTTGCTTACCAGCCTCTCACCGTCCCTCTAATTTCAGGTACATCTCTTCTTTTTGATACACTTTACTATTGTTTACATGTAATATTTTAAAAATACGTAACTCAAGTTTATATATATAATATGAAGAAGTGGAGGCACAAAACGAGAATCTGAGAGTCTTCAGCTTCAAGGAATGGATGAAAGCAACGAAGAAATACAGACAAGACAGGGTCGAACTTTGCGACAATCCCTATATTCGATTTCGAACATTCTACAAGGGCTACATCGATAACACCACATTTGCACCATCAAGAACTAAAACCGGTACCCCTGTTTCTGTTGTCGAATATCTTCATAAAAGTTCACAGGCTCTACAAGAGTGGGTGGTAAGCAAAGTCTGTCTATATTTATTTTTTACTCAATTATTTGTAAAAATTTGTCTCTATATGTGCTTATTGATTGATGGGCATAAAAACTATGTGTTGTAGGAAGAAGTGAAGTCTCTAGAAAGATTTTCTCATCCAAACTTGGTCAAAATTTTGGGTTATTGTTGTGAAGATAACAAATCACTCTTGGTTTTAGAGACTTGCACCAAGGAAGTTTAGATCATCACATTTTCGGAAGTTAAGATCGATCACATTTTCTTTGAATCGGTATATATACAGATAATTTTGCTTTACATAGAGTTTCATGTCTCTCTCTCAACAGAAGAAGAGGGATTGCCATGGGCAATACGGGTTAAGATAGCCATTGGAACAGCTCAAGGTCTTGCATTTTTCCACTCGATCATGAATACCCCGCTACATCTAGAACTCAGATTGCACAATATTATGCTTAACGAGGTAATGACTTTATTTCCGTTCTTATTCTTATTCGTCTTCTTCTTCTTCTTCTTCTTCTTCTTCTTTTTGTTTGTGATCTTAGAAACTAATACCTAAGTTCGGATTTCATTAGCAATACAATGCAAAATTGTTTTATCGTGAATCAAACAAACGAAATTGTTTGGAAGAGGGGACATTTGTGGCACTACTTAAATACATGCCTCCTGAACCTGAATGTGCTATGTCAGGTACACCAAAATCTTAAGTTTTGTTTTACAAATTCTGATTAATCTTTCATTGTTAAATGTTAAGACAACTGTGTAATGTATGTAGCTCGTTTGGGAATAGAGGCCGATGTTTACATATTTGGCGTGATCTTGCTTGAGATTTTAGCTGGTTCGAAAGCTAGATCAAGAAATATGAAGAATCAAAGCTCCTATGATTGGACTGGATCTTTCTTGCCCGATAATTATAAAATTGAGGAAATAATCGATCCCCGACTAGGAAGTGATTATCCTGTGGATGCGGCAACAAAGATGTTCACACTCATCCAAAGTTGCACCAAGCGGGACAAGAAGAATCGACCACTGATGCAACAAGTTTTGGATGTTCTGAATAATATTGCAGAGATTGAGTACTAGTGTAGGTGAGAAGTCCTTATATCGGACACAAGGGCATTGATAATAATTGAAAGAATCAATTTAGACTAAACTTTCTAATGATGCAACAAGTTTCTAATGAAGTGACCACCTGTTTAATATCAGCCTTTAGGCGAACTCTTGCTGCTACAAAAGGCCAACTCTGAAACCAATGCAATGTGATCGCTTCCCCATTTCTGTAACAAACCAGAAACACAAAATTCAAAAAGTTTCATCATCTAATATCCTTGTTTGAAAAATCGCTAGGCGCTAGTCGGGCGCTCGGCATGGGCCTAGCGATTAATCGGAAAATCGGATTAAAATCGGGGATTAATCGGGGATTAGTTTTAGGGTTATTTTAATATTTTTAAAACATATTAATCCAATATTATTTTCAAAATTGCAGTAAACACATAAAAATGTATTTTTGAGACAAATTTTTATGATTTTTATTACAAATTTATGATTTTTATTTAAATTTGAACATAAATTATTGTAAAACATTACAAACTCCTAATTCAAATGATTGAATAACAAAAATAAAAAGTTTTTTTATACTAGCAATCTAAAAATAATCGGGGTATGTAAGATTAGGCGGGGAATAATCGGATTATGCGGGGAATAATCGGATTAGGCGGGAAGTAATCGGATTAGGCGGAGAGTAATCGGGTGACTGATTTCTTTAAGGAATTAGTCATTAATCGAGGCGGATAGGGTGGGCCTAGCGATTAAGCGGGGAGTAATCGGGTCTAGGCGGGGATTTTTAGAACAGGGTCTAATATAGCTTATAAGTTAGGCTAGATAAAGAGCAAGATCATACTGGAGTCGGGAAGCCTGGTGTCCACTGCATTGCTTGTTTCGGTATTGGAGCAAGCACACGAACCGTTTGAAGGCCTTCCGACCGCCTAACCCAAACCAGAAATCAAATATGAAAATGTGTTAAAACGCAAAATCCATGATAATCCAATCTAATATAATCTCAAGAATTGTCACTCATGGTTTTGCATCGAATGCTAGTACCATATGTAGTCAACTGTCCCCATGAAACATCTGTGATAACTGGTCACTACAGGTTCTCCGTTTTCATCTCTTGTGTTCGCTTGACCCTAACCAGAAATTTCAACAGCATCCTAAGAAAATAAATTTCTCAAGAAACAGAAGATAAAGGACAAAAAAACTGTAGGGAGGATATATTCCACTACCTCCACTTCTGAGTAAGTGCTTTTAAGCTCCAGAGCGTGTTCAACTGTAGTTCTCTCTGGGTCGCCTGTTGCAGTTGCTATCTCCATTGGAGTCCATGAGGATGGATTATACATGATTTTCTCATTATTAATAGCTTCAGAACCCGATTTACGTGAAAAATCATTCACAAGTTCCCCTTTTTGACTCAAGTCTTCATTATTATCGTGTAGCTTAGCCAAAAAGGTTTCCCCATCTTCACCTAAAACTTCTTCATCTTGCGCGAATACAACTGGTTCGTCCAATTTTAAGCCATCTAGTTTCATCTCAGCCAAAGTATTGTCAACCTTGGTGGAGAGACTAGATGATATACCTTGATCACTGGAACATATTTCCTCAGGAGAATGCTCTGTTTCTGATAAACCCAAACTTACAGAATGATCTGTATTCAAATCTTCTCTAGCACTGGAAGCATGTTGAGGTTCTGTATCTGATATAATTACTGTAGAAAGATCTTCAGCTATCGAGAGATTCCCGGAGTCATCAGGTTTTCTGTTTTCTATTCCAAAATTACAATCTGAGGCCATATTCTCGCCTGGTAATACTTGGTCAGAGCTCGAAGTGGCTTCGTGAGCTGCAAGAATTGTATCACCACATGGAAGCTCAGATGTCTTTTCGGAGGGGGCCGTTCCAACATCTATGTTGGAGTTATTCTCCATATGAGCATTTGTGATCGAATCTGGTGGTTGAACTTGACCTTGTGGAGATTTATTGGCGGACTGAAACCTGGAAAATTGAGGAGGCCTATCAACCATGCTGACAATTGCAAAAGCAGAGTAGAACTCGAGATACTAGGGTAAACATGTAGGTGTTAAGTTGCAAAACCAAATACATAATGATGTCGAAGAACTTGGTGAGTTCTTGCTCTACCTCGTTGTATAATTTTCTGGCCTTGGTGGACGAAACTCAGCAGAAACTTGCCCCGAGACTTTGTCTCTGGCCAAACCAGACAAATCCAACTGCAGAGAGCAGCACAAGACACAATGTGAACCATATATATAATGTTGCTAATAGGTGAAGGACTTCCCTAACAATGAAGCTTTACCTTCCGGTCTGAAATAAAGTTGTACAAATGACTCTGCAACCAGGTGGAAGAATGTTATGACCATGTCACAAAACAGGTTAATTTGGGTATACCAACTGCTTAACGTAAGAATGTCCTACCTTTGGTGTACAATTGAAATCCCCACAAAGAACAATAGGCGCATCATCCCAGAGTTTTGAAACAGCATGAGCTTTATCTAAGAGTGTCCTGACCTACGTAACAGAGATGATAAATGGAAACAGTTAAACAAACCAAGTCAAGCAAGGGGCGCAATGTTTTGCTTCAAATGTTTTGTCTCAGACAACTAACACTTTTACATGTTCATAGCGTATAGATAGAGTTAAATCAGAGAGTAAAACTGTCGTTTGGCAAAAGATTTCTACAAACTAGAATATGGCAATAAAGGAAAGTACCTGACCAAGTTTAAAGTCTCCTCTTTTAGGATTAAAAAGCACGTGAATGTTACAAATGACAACTTGGTGGGAACCAGCAGAGCTGCAAAAGAAATTGGTAATTCACTTCAACCCACCCACAAAGTGTAGTCCATAAAGAAAACCACTGAAATCTGAAGAAAATCGGCCACTTCCTAGGAATGGCAATTATCCAACCCATAGCATAATCAGTATATGATAGTAACATTTACAGATACTTTTGAAGTTACCTTTCAGGTGGAGGGGTCTCATTTTCTTTTGTATGTGAAGTCAACAGTGTCTAGACAGAGCAAATTCAATTTAGGGTAAAGAGGCAAACGTGTGTAAGTCACTATCAAAATAAGGTATCCATACTACCTCAAGCACACATATTTGAGCAACATTATCCCGAAGACCAAGTTGATTGAACTGGATGCTTTCCTCGTGAACCAACTTGAATCTAATATGATAACAATGAGATCACAAACAAGATTCCAGACTGAACGACAGAAGGAAGAACAAGGGAAGCAAACCTATTTGATCGCCAAAATATTGCACAGCCGTCAACAGCATTACCAGTCCGCATCTACATTTGAAGCTTAATTCATACCATTTTATATTTACTCCAAGAGAGTCGGTGGAGAATACAAACTCAAGACCCCTAATAGTTTTCAACAAACCTACCTTCCAAATGGCACTATATCCTCGGTGCTTCATCTCCTCCTCTAAATCCTGAAATTTATCAACTTCCTAATATATGCAAAATAATTTTAGATTACTATGCATATGGAAGATACATTCTGAATATGATGAAAAAGAGGAAAGCAAGAAAGCTTTGTCTCCTTAGTCCCTCACACAAACAATTGCCAAGAAGATATAGCAGAAACTATAACCTGAAGGCACATTATATCTGCAGACCATAGGCCAAGCTCGAACACTAATTTGCTCTTTCTCCATCCCCAACTCAACATATTCCTCGGTATGTGAAAGTAAAGACTTCTCCAGTGATCATTTGCAAGGTAATCCGCCAAGATATTATACGATAAAACAACAAACTTTTCTGCACACAAACACCAAAAAAAAAGTAAATCAAATTGCAAAAACATAGAAAGTGTTTTGAAGTTGAATGAGATGATCAACTATTACCAAAACTTACCGGAGCCAGGAGACGGTGGCGTTTTGGCATATTCCCATTCCCGGTAATCTGAAGGTTTTGACCGTGGCCGTTGACGAAAGCTCTGATGTGGAGGCGGCCGAGACATCTGGTTTGGATAGAACGGAGGGGGAGGGTATGCCGCATAGTTTTGATTGGACGGAAAATGATTAGGTTGACGAAATTGTTGCCACTGACCTCGAGGCGGCGGCGGAGGCCGAAATTCGTAATTCTGATTGAACGGTGGTTGCTGCCGCTGATCTAGCGGAGGCTGAGGTTGTCGATAAGGTTCACCATGCCGGAATCGGAGATTGGCGTCATGAACTGACTGAAAATGCGAGTCTCCAGTCACGAACTGATCTCTTCCTCCTGCGTCATTATTGTACGGACGATCAGAGAAACTTCTCCCGCCTCGGCCTCTTCCTCGGCCACCTCTGTACTGCTCCGTAAGAAACATATTATATTCCAGTAAGCGAAGCAGCAACGCATTGACACAAAAAGAGAATGACTAAGAAAATTTACCGGAGCACGAGTAGACATGGCGACGATTGGAGCAGAAGTAGTGGATACGTCAGTGAAGGAAGCGTCGGAGAAAACTTGGGCGAGAAAACGAGAACGCCGCATTGGTCAATCGAATTCGAAGCTTGAAGAAGCGGTGCTTAATTGTAGAGAGAGACGAATCAACCCGATGAACGGAGATTCTTAGAAAATCGTGCCGTTTTTACAATCTACAAGTACATAGCTTCCTGTCTTCACTATGAATAAAATGGCACGCAAGCCAAAAATGAAGTCACTTTTTCACTACATTCAACACCCACAACGAGAATCTTGTATCTTTCTTACTCAAATTGATAGAACAACACTTCAGATATGAAACCTCAATATCTGTTTATCATCTCATCTGATCAAACACATGATACTGAGTAGTAATAAAGATTTGAGTTGCAAAGTTAAAACTTCCCCAATCAAAAAGGGTCCAAAACTAAAGAAATCATGTAAGCATATAACCAGGATCTATAGCTTTAGAATCAATAAGAAACTTTAAGGTTAACAAAACTTGGAAACAGACGCATCATAACGTTAATAGATCTTGAATTGAACAAACAAACTGGGGAGAAATGGTTTCCCCAAGTTGGGTATTTTTCATCATTTGTTGGCTTCGGATTGAGCAAAGGACTTGCTGACAACGTAGCAATCTCTTGGTTCAATGTTGATGTAATAGTTTTGTATGGTATCTGTGATCTCGAACCCGAACTTCTTGTAGAACTTGATCGCGTCTTCGTTGTTTGTCTGCACGTGCAAGTATATTTCACACATGTTTTGCTTGGAGCACATCTCAAGAACATGATTCAAAAGCTTTGAACCTGCAAAAGACAAAAAAAAGTAAACAAGATACACAAGTTAATAGACAGTGTTTTCCTTTTTTAAAAGCAGGGATATTTGATCTTAAATCTGATATATGAGGAAATCATTGTCACTAATTCCAGTTTCTCGGTAAAACAACAATATGCATAAAGCCCTAAGGACTATTTCTTGGTGGTTCGAATCTCTAAATAGAGAACTACAGAATAAACATACTACAGCTAGCCTCACGTGTTTAAACGTAAGGAAAACAACTGAATTACGCAACATGCTAATAGTTTTCTATATTATTCATGTTTTGTCGGTTCAAGATTCAAGTTTGGCATAGCAGATTTATGACTTACCAATGCCAATCCCACGGTATGGTGCAAGAACACCAAGCGTCATTATATAAACTCGCATGGCTCCACCTTCTTTCTTCTCCAGCCGACAAGCGATAGCTCCAACACATATGTCACTGTAATATGCTGAGAGGAAGAAAGTCCATTATTAGCATATGAAGAATTTTCCTTGTCTCACAAATTAGAGAAAATAAATGTAACTCCAAGAACATAAATACCCAGGCAACAGCAATGAAATAGTTAGTGCCAAATTTAAGATGTTGTTAACAGTCTTTAAACTTTCATAATCACATCTCATTGCACATTTAAAGAAGTGGTTAATGCAAAAGATTTTCCAACCAAGCATTCCACAAAAGTGAGCATGAAAGAATTCTGTGAATACGAAACTTAGTCTTGGACCATGTTATCCAAAGATAACAACAACAAAGTACAAGTCAATCAGCAATAGATTACTAGGTACATTCTTAACATACAAAAAGTTTTGATTGGTTAAACAAAAGAATGCAGTACTCAAACAAGTTAAAACAGCGATCAAGATGATACTTTGTCGACTTCTATGTCATCAATCACAAAGTTTAAACATGAATCAGTATTTACGAATCAACAGACAATAGAAAGCAACTAAATTGATCCATTCAAAGCATATACCAATATTACAAACAAAATTATCTTTTTCCTAATTTTAGACACCAGTGCTGAACCAAAATAAAACAATGCTCAATCAAGAAAATTAACGGAACCGAACAAACAAGAAGAAAGACCATAATCACACCTTTAAGTCTTTAACAATGACCAGGGAATCCACTAAAAAGACAACCAAAGCAAAGGACGATTGCAAAAGGTACCTCTTTTATAGAGTCTGCCAAGCCTAATCACAGAACAGTTCATAAAACCTCCAAAGCAACTAACTTTTCCTATCAAAGGAAGAGACTACTAATGCTCACTCAAGTAGGAAGACAGAAAACAAAAGACACCTCACAGCAAAAATAACACAATTCGATGAAATCTTAGTTCTGATTCAGAGGCATATTCCCGTGTAATCGTAATAGCACATGCCCATGAAGAAATTCAAGCAGGAATTACTGGGGAAAACAAAGAGAGACAGAAATTAAGAAAACTCAAGTAAAAACGAAGACGAACCAAGCTTGGTGAATTCGCCGGAAGCGATTGCATCGGCGTAGTACTTGTCGTTGTAGCGAACCGGGAACAAAACCGTGTTGAGTTTCTTAAGCTGCATCAAGTTTTTGTCTCTGACTCCATCTAGCGATACGCTGACTTCTCTCCCAGCTCCCATCGCCGTCGAACAATCTAGAATTCGACGTCGTGCGGACAGAGAAAAATAAAATCAAAGGGGAAAACACGAGATTTAGAGGAGACAAAATATATATAAATAATGATAATCGTAGGCCTAGGCTTTCGGTTAACCGTTCGGTTATCGGTTGGATCCATTCGGTTTCGGTTCTTTCGGTTTCAAAATTTAGCATCCATTCGGATATTTTGAAATTTCGGTTCGGTTCCGGTTCTTTCGGTTTTAAAATTTAGTATCCATTCGGTTATTTTGCTTAGGATATTTTCGGATATTTCTGTTATTTTTTAGTATTTTCAGATATTTTTGGATATATTTTGGTTATTTTCAAGTATTTTTGATTATTTGGTCTATAAATAATTAATTATTTTGAAAATATAATTGTATTTCGGATATTTCGGTTACCCAAAACATTTCGGTTCGGTACCGATTCGGTTACGGTTATTTCGATTATAGAATTTAGTATCTATTCGGTTATTTTCAAATTTTCGATTCGGTTCGGTTCAGTTTTTTTGCTTCGGTTTCGGTTCGGTACATTCGGTTCGGTTTATTTGTCCAGCCTAGATAATCGTCTCGTGGGAGAGAACAAATTATTGGGCCTAAAAGCTTTCTGGGCCTACATCAAGCCCATAAAAAGCATCCTTCCGGTTCCGGAGGCCAATTTCCAAATGTTATATATAGTCTGTAAAACGTCGTAGTTTTATAAGCCCACAAAGTGCTAACCTTTCTCACTCAACCAGAAGTTGCATCAAGTTGAAAGTTGAAACACTTATCGTTAACATTTTGGTTAATTTGTGAAGCAGAAGAAACAAACATTTTGATGAGATGGGGAAGAAGAAAGGGAAAGCGATCATAGTAGGAGGAAGTATAGCAGGCTTATCTTGCGCACACTCGCTTACGTTAGCAGGCTGGGATGTTTTGGTTCTCGAGAAATCTTCCGAACCTCCGGTTGGGAGTCCTACTGGTGCTGGCCTCGGACTCGATCCTCAGGCTCGCCAAATCATCAAATCCTGGCTTCCTCGTCCACACCTCTTAGATGAAATCACCTTGCCTCTCACAATTGATCAGGTTTAAAAACACTGAGTTTAGTTCGACAGTTGAAACAATTGGAGTTTAATTTTTCCAGCTCTGCTAAAGTTTTTAACTTTTTTTGTTTTGTGGGTTTGTTTATAGAATCAGACAACAGATAGTGAGAAGAAAGAGACGAAGATTCTAACAAGAGATGAGGATTTCGATTTCCGAGCAGCTTATTGGTCAGATGTTCACTCTCTTCTGTATAAAGCATTGCCTCAAACCCTGTTTCTTTGGGGACATAAGTTTCTGTCTTTCACAATGTCACAAGATGAATCTATTGTAAAGGTTAAGACTTTAGTTATAGAAACTCAAGAAACCGTTGAAATTGAAGGAGATTTACTTGTTGCAGCAGATGGGTGTTTGTCTTCGATTCGGAAAAGTTTCTTGCCTGACTTTAAACTGAGGTTTGAAATAAGAGCGTATGATTTTCCTTTTTGGTTTGATATTTTGTGGACTTGATCATATAGGATTTTGTTTTTCTTTTATGTGAAAGGTACTCTGGTTATTGTGCTTGGAGAGGTGTTTTTGATTTCTCAGGGAATGAGAACTCGGAAACAGTTACTGGAATTAAGAAAGTGTATCCGGATCTTGGAAAATGCTTGTATTTTGATCTCGGTGAACAGACTCATACCGTGTTTTACGAGCTTTTTAACAAGAAACTCAACTGGATTTGGTATGTCAATCAACCAGAGCCTGACCTGAAAGTAAGAAGACTAATTATATTCCTCTCTCTTTTATATTAGATGCATTTAAATGTGTAGTTTTCTTGATTTCTGCTTTTTGGTTGTTATGAAATTACGATATCAGAGCAACTCTGTTACTCTAAAAGTGAGTCAAGAAATGATCAATAAGATGCATCAAGAAGCAGAAACCATCTGGATCCCGGAGCTAGCGAGACTCATGAGAGAAACAAAGGATCCTTTCCTTAATGTTATCTACGATTGTGACCCTTTAGAACGGATCTTCTGGGGAAACATCGTGCTGGTTGGAGATGCTGCTCATCCCACTACCCCCCATGGTCTAAGAAGCACAAACATGTCGATACTTGATGCGGAAGTGCTAGGCAAATGCCTGGAGAAATGTAAACCTGATAATCTAAGTTTGGGTCTAAAGGAATATCAGAGAATAAGATTGCCTGTTGTTTCTGAGCAAGTTTTGTATGCAAGGCGTTTGGGGCGTATCAAGCAAGGTCTGGATCATGACGGAATTGGAGGTGGCGGTTTGGAGCAGAGAACCATGCCATTTTTTACTTGTGCTCCCCTTGTCTAATATTTGATGTGAAAAAATGTTGTATGTTAATGATTGTGTGTTTCATAGCCATGAACATAACATTGGGAACGTCAATGTAGAAAAATGAATATGTACTTCGAATACAAGTTTTATAAAACTTATGAAAAAAGAAACAAAATTGAGGAGAAAATTTGTATTTAACTGTCAACAAAAAGGTAAAAAAGGAATGCGTCTGCCGGGAGTCGAACCCGGGTCTATTGCTTGGAAGGCAATTATCCTAACCGTTGGACTACAGACGCTCTTGTCCTTTGTTTTCATGTTAACTTATTTATTTTAGTTACCTAATGGTCAACACAAAAGACGTCTCAATTTCATTATTGGTAATTTACTATTTTGCATAAGATGTCAGTATGTCACTAACTCACTGTAGCTATTTTGTTGATTCTTGCATGGTGGATACTATTTTTAGACATATAATTATATTTTGGGACAATTAGACATAAATTACATACCTTTTCTATTGTCCACTCTGGAGAAAAACAAAAACACTGATGTGAATCATGTGATGCGTCTCACAAAATGCATTAGTTAAGAATGTGGAGTGTGGACCATCCTTTAAACTTCTTCTTTTTTTCTTTGTATTATACTACTACGATTAAAAGAACATCACAGTTTGGATAAGATATTATGTAAAATATCATGTTTTCCAAATCACATTTAACATAGCCCTTAGCTTGCAAGATAAAATATAGAAAAGTGAAACAGTCGAAGATTTTCATGAGAAAAAAGGAAAAACAATACATCGTCTCTTTTTATTGTTAGAGGGGTTTAATACCATATCAAATCCCATATTCCCATGAATCTAATTTGAATGAATCAATGACTTATGTCGGTACATCATTTACTTGAATACAAATGTCAAGGGTAATAATTTAATCCTAACGTACATCTCAAATTCATGCGTATATGGTATATACAATGTTTATAAGTGTGGTCATGTAACTATGGTTAGACAAATTGAGGTTGAGGGCAAATTCATGCCTGACAGAGAAATTCCAAAGAGCAGTGAGTAGGATAATGCAGAAGGAGAAAATGGAAGAAGATGCCAGAGGAAGATGACGTTTTTATGGGACCCTAAACTCTTTTGTCTACATTGTAATATTCATATTTTTGCCATTATCGATAGTGTAAACAAGATTGCTGATGTTGATCCATCCAAGAACCACAATATTCCTCGTCTAACCAAAGGGACCATTGATACTCTATATATGTAACATGCGTATAAAGTAGATTAATAGTAGCTGATACACTTGTATAACTTGTATTTTTCTTCCAGCTTAGTCATGAGTCTAGGCTCTATTTAACTGAAAGTTAGGACCATTTTAATTAACAAAAGAAAATGTATGGACCATTCTATTATACCAAGCATGCATAAATAATGAGTCTACATAATTATTTGATTTTGAAGTTATCTTTGTGTAAGAGACATTTGATTCTCGTACAAGCTAAGTATTCAAGTTTATGCACACCTGCTCTTTAAAAAGGTTTTGTAGTGCTAAATTAAAGAAATTTTGAACTACGTAAATTTAACTTTTTTGATTCAACAAGTATCTTTGGTTTACTTAATGAATAAAATATGTATATTTGAAACTCGCTAGCATTAGTTTAGCACAAATTTAGTTTTTACTAGAACTAGAGATACATGCAGAATCATTATATTACTTTCAAATATTATATATATTCCAATATATTGATTTTCTCACGTATAATTAAATTATTTGCTGACTAGTAAAAGGATTGTAAAATAAATTGACCATGCATGTCATGATGATTAGAGATATATAAGTGGGGTAACGTAAATAATAAGAATGATACATGAAAGAATTGGCATTTTAATTAAATCTTGTTAATAAAGTCAATCATCTCTTGACAATAATAAGGTTTTAATTTGATTGGAGTAGACAAAACATTTGGGTCTATGTAATAATTATACGTATCCAGGTCTATGTAATAATAAAGTTTATGTTTCGATTAAATAAGACCCCGAAAGTAAGTTAATATTGTTAAACATTTACGTGGGTTATTGTTTACGTCTTAATCAATTGTGTGACATGGAATCCATAATAAGGTCAAAGCTTAATCAATGAGATGAGGTTTAGCATGCACTACATCATTTAATTTACCGCTTAAAACACTACCATGCGCATACATTTCTAAATAAAATAAGGCATATTCTTTCTTTTCATATTTTCCTTTAAAATAACAATTAAGTCCCATACCCCCATTCTTTCTTCCTCTTTACGTATAAAGCATAAACTAATATATGCAAAAACAATTTATCTAAAAAAATGTGATTAATTATTGAATAAATAGCAATCACATTCTTTGGCTGCAAAACCTGGATGCATGAGTTCCCAAGGATTTTATATAATGATATCTTATAATCTTATGGTTATGTTTCTACCTGCATATTATTTTAAATGTCATAAACGTAAATTTGGTTTAATTTTATTAGTAGCTAGTTAAAATGATCTAATATAGAATTAGCCGTAGATTTGTTAGTATATGTGATGTTGTTGCCTCCAGTATAAATAAATCCAATCTAGAATTAAATGATTCATAATTAGTTGCTTTGAGAAAAGATGGCTTCGCGTAAAATATGTTAAATATTGATATTGCAACCTCAGAGAAGAGATTATAGGGGAAGTGGAGGTCGGCTGCATTAGTTGACATTTAACGAAGGAGCGGTCAGTCATGCGCAACTCAATTACATTTCCACATATCTACTTATTAATTATGTCATTATGTGTTTGGACCCTTGTTTGAAAAATCGTTAGGCGCTAGTCGGACACTTAGTATGGACCTAGCGGTTAATCGGAAAATCAGATTAAAATCGGGAATTAATCGGAGATTAATTTTAGGATTATTTTAATATTTTTATTGCAGTAAACACATAAAACTATATTTCGAGATAAATTTTTATGAGTTTTATTACAAATTTATGATTTTTATTAAAATTTGAACATAAGTTATTTTAAAACATCACAAATTCCCAATTTAAATGATTGAATAACAAAAATAAAAAGTTTTTTTTACTTGCAAACTAAAAATAATCGGGATATGTAAAATTAGGCGGAGAGTAATCGGATTAGGCGGAAAGTAATCGGATAAGACGGAGAGTAATCGGGTAACTGATTTCTTTAGGAGATTAGTCATTAATCGAAGCGGATAGGATGAACCTAGCGATTAAGCGGGGAATAATCGTTCTAGGCGGGAATTTTTAGAACAGGGGTTTGGACTAACAAAAAAAAAAATTCTGTGTTTGGTGCAATCTTCATTGACTATGCTATGCTATAATTTCTATTGGTTTTCAAATTATATAAATTTTGGTAATAACTAGCTTTCACTCTTCTATTGACTTTTAGATGTTTCATTCAAAGAATTTGATGATCTGAAAATGACAGAAATGTGAGTTTACACTACAGTTATACACATTTCTTTCTTGCTTAAGATATAATTAGTTGTGAAAAAAGTGTACTTCATTATACTTTCCATGAATACTTATGACGGAAAGAAGGTCAGAAGGCCATCTAAACCTTTGTTAAAGTAACCAGTATTTGATTATTAGGCAATTTAATTACATGAATCTTCTGTTTCCACTTTCTTGACCTCAACAAACTTTCGGTAGAAGATTAATTATAAAAATTGTACGAATATGATGAAACACGTCAACGCAAATATCATATAGTGTTTAAAGACAATGATTTTTTGTTTTTTTGCTAATCTTGTAAATATCATTAGAAATGAAAGTGAAGGTATTACAAAAGATTTACCTAAATCTAGAGAAACCTTGGAAAAAAAAAAAAAAAAGACAATGTTTTTGTTGGAGCCAAGCCACGAAATGCAAAAATAATTTGCTTAAATGACATATATATATATATATATAGCAGGAAAAATGTAGTCATTAATCGTAGGAAAGAAAATTAGTTTGACTAGTAGTAAAGAATCTAAGGCAAAGATTTTCCCGGTGGTTAAATTTAATATCTACACCATTTTTCCCTTCTTAGACCTACTCTACTCCCTACACTATACACATCAACACTCTCTCTTTCTCTCTCTCTCCCCATTACTTATTGAGAAACACACACACACATACACAAATCCTTTCCTTTTCTCTCACGCCTTCTCTCTCTCGCTCTCTAGCATTTAAACCTCATCTTACGTGGTCTCTTTATAATTTCCAACTTGGTTTCTTGTTTTTTCCCGAGAAACAATCAAAAGACCCTAAAACAGGACACTTCTTTAGGTGCATGTGTGTGTGATCGTCAGAGAAAGATAAAGACACTTTCTTCTTCCTTCTTCCCTTCCTTCTTCTTACTTAAGATCTCTCTCTCTCTCTCTCTTATTAATCGACATGGGCACTTGTAGAGAACCAGAGCCTAGTCAAATCTTCGTCCCTGGTCCGATCATCGTCGGTGCTGGTCCGTCCGGTCTAGCCGTAGCGGCTTGTTTGTCAAACCGAGGCGTACCATCGGTTATCCTCGAGAGAACCGATTGTTTAGCTTCTTTATGGCAAAAAAGAACCTACGACCGTCTCAAACTCCATCTCCCTAAGCACTTTTGCGAGCTTCCTCTTATGCCTTTCCCTAAAAACTTCCCTAAATATCCCTCCAAGCAACAATTCATCTCCTACGTCGAGTCTTACGCCGCCCGGTTTAATATCAAACCGGTTTTTAACCAAACCGTCGAGAAAGCCGAGTTCGATGACGTCTCTGGTCTATGGAATGTGAAGACGCAAGACGTTGTATACACATCCACGTGGCTGGTGGTTGCCACAGGAGAAAACGCTGAACCGGTGTTTCCGAACATACCCGGTTTAAAGAAGTTTACTGGACCGGTTGTTCACACCAGTGCGTACAAGTCCGGTTCGGTATTTGCAAACCGGAAGGTTTTGGTGGTTGGTTGTGGAAATTCCGGTATGGAGGTCAGCTTGGATCTTTGTAGATACAATGCTCTGCCTCATATGGTCGTTAGAAACTCTGTAAGTCAAAACTAATAACTATGCTCATTATCAAACTATATTAACTTATAATAGAAGCAGTAAACGGGTCTAATCAATTATTATAATTAATGATGCAGGTACATGTGTTACCAAGAGATTTTTTTGGTCTATCGACATTTGGAATAGCGATGACACTACTAAAATGGTTTCCTTTAAAGCTGGTGGACAATGTTCTCCTACTTCTTGCTAATTCTACGTTGGGTAATACCGACCATTTAGGCCTTCGACGACCTAAAACCGGACCAATTGAGCTCAAGAACGTCACTGGAAAAACTCCGGTTCTTGATGTCGGCGCCATTTCTTTAATCCGAGCAGGACAAATTAGAGTAAGTTTCATAATCTTTTTTTTTTCTCTAAGTTATATTTTATTATCCATCTAGAATTAATTGCTTTTTAGCTAAATGATTGGATATATGAAAAGTTTTTGCATGCGTGTGTTTGTACTTTCTGTTTATGAATGTTGCTGATATTTTACTTCATTTTTCAAACAGCTATGAGTTCTTTTTTTAATTTAATTGATTTGTCTTGTGGTTTATTAACTATTAGGTGACGCAAGCGGTGAAAGAAATAACGAGGAACGGAGCAAAGTTTCTGAATGGGCAAGAAATTGAATTCGACTCCATAATATTAGCGACTGGGTATAAGAGTAATGTACCCGACTGGCTCAAGGTACTTCAAAGCATATATTCATCATTCTCTCTCTAGCTCGTATATATACGTGTATGTGTATGATGATGAAATTATGTGAACCAACAACATACGCATGCAATTAAAAACTTCGTTTTCAAGAATAACGGTGATGCTGATGGTAAAATGATAAGGATATGCATATATATACACTCAAGAATCAAGATAAGTTATATAGACTATAAACAATAATTGGTTTTAGTGTTATCATTTAGTGAATCATCCATCGCTTTCTATGATAAGGATATAACACATGCAACAAAGGGAACAAGACTCCAAAACTCTTCTTTTCTCCATGCAAAATGGAATAAACCTTTTTCACTATTTAAAATTCCCAAAAATTACAACAAAAATATAATTTGTTTTTTCTTGTCCCCTCAAGGTTTATTTTGTATTTTAAGAAATTAAAAAATAATCTAACTATTATTTTGAATTTTACAGGACAATAATTTTTTCATAAAAGAAGGAATGCCGAAAACGCCGTTTCCTAACGGTTGGAAAGGAGAGAAGGGACTATACACGGTGGGTTTCACGAGAAGAGGACTTTCAGGAACAGCCTATGACGCCGTTAAGATCGCTGAGGATATAACAGACCAATGGATGAAATTTAACGGCCCGTTGAGTATTAGGAATATTTGTAGTTCCCATATTATTCATCTTCATTTCAATAAATCCTAATAATTCGGTTACTTTTTTGTTCGTGTTCTCAATTTTGACTTGTTTCTCTTTTTCTTTTCTTTTCTTTTCATGATCTCTAATGAGTTAGTTGGTTTTATTTACTAGTTATCATGTGTTGTAAATTTGGTAATATTTACTCCTTTAGCTGTAAAATAGTCCTCGTTATCTAAAGTTTGGCGCAATTTTTTTTTTTAAAATGGTTCTGAATTTTGTTTCTTATTATACTCCGTTAACATCTGAAGTAAATTAAATTTAAGAATTCATACTGTCTATGACATTTTTGTAATTATAAAATCTTATCACATAATCTATTTCTCAAATCATATACATCTAATTATTTCGAATAGTAATTTATCTCTACCGCTTTGATTATTTTTTTCAAACCAAAAAGCCCTTGACAATATTCATAATATGTGCTTCTATGAAATGTGAAAAAAAAAAGAATAGCTAACGACGACATGATACATATTACACACTGCCCAGTTCTTGATAGCAGCTCATTATTGTCCACTCTACAGTAGCCACTCTGAAGTGTCCTTTAGATATTGTATGGAGTCCACAAAGATTTACTTTGACTGACTACATCAAGTTTACATCTTATAAGAGCAGGATTATAGGAGGTATCTTAAACATATCTTAGGGGAAAAAATTATTAAATTTAATGAATAGTTCAATCAAATGCTAAGATGTATATCTTATTTAAGATGTTATTGATGAGTTTTAGATATGAGCACGTGTCTTGCTCTGATTAATTTAAAGAAACAACAAAGCCAAAAAAAAAAACCTTTCGTTTTTTTATTTCCCTCTCGACCTTTCTCTCTCTCTCTCTTTTCCTCGAAACCAAAACGGCGAAATCCTGCTCTGAGGCTGTTGATCCGACGAATTGAGAGGAGAAATGAGATGGAATTGCGTGTTTCATATAAATTGTATTTCATGTATGTTTTAATTTTTTTTAATTTGCAACAATTATTAAATTTTCTATAATTATAAATTTTATTTTTGTATTAATTTTTTTTCTTCTAAGAACCACATGTTAAGAACCTACCATTAATCACACAAAAATCTTAACCCAAAAATACTATATCTTAACTATCACTTTTACAAATATATTACTTAAATATTCTTAAGATTTATTTCTAAGATACTACCAATAATCATGCTCTAACCCTCTATCAAAATTAATCTTAACTCATATTTAGGCAGTTAACCTGACATGCTGAAATATGATGTACGTTACTTTCGCTATTTCCAGTTTCCATTTGTAATTCACACGGTGGGTTTTTAACTAATCTATGATCGCATAAGTAAAATAAACGGGGCTGGGTAAATTGTGTACTGTGTCAAGCAAGATACACATCAAACAGTTGACTTTTTCACACAATTATACACATCTTTTTTTCTTTTTGTAAACCCACAATTATACACATCTACTTACTAATATTGAACCTCATTGTCATATTTTATAAAATGGAAATATAGGTTCATGATTTGGCCATCATTTTGACAAATGGATAGACTGAGTGATGACGATGAGTTCTACATCATTTTGCCATCAGTATTTTTATTTTTTTTACCAACTTGTCCTCAGTTTTTAATTGTCTACCAATATTACCTAGTTAATGATGTAAAAATTAGTATCTTGAATTTTCAGTTTATTGATAATATAGATTATTTAAAGAGAAATTGTTAAAAATGCCCCTTTTTCAATACCCCTTTTCAAAAATGCCCCTTTTGAGAGTCCATTTTTAAGTTTGCCCTCTTTTAATTTTTAATGACCATTTTACCCTTATTTGAAACAAAATTAGGTCCACAAAATACAAAATATTTTTTGACGGGAAAAGTGATCCCGCAATTTTCCTGCCAAAACACTTGTAAAAACCTTTAAAAAACCTTGTAAAATTTTCCCGTAAAAATTTTTCCCGCCAAAAAATTTTCCCGCCAAAAATTTTTTTTTGCGGGAAAAGTGATTCCGCAATTTTTTTTTGCGAAATTTTTTTGCCGGGAAAAATTTACAAGGTATTTTAAAGGTTTTACAGAGTATTAACAAGTGTTTTGTAAGGTTTTACAATGTATTTTAAAAGGTTTTACAAGGTACTTATAAGGTTTTATAAGGTATTTATAACTTGTAAAACCTTATAAAAAACTTGTAAAACCTTATAACTTGTAAAAACCTTATAAAATAGCTTGTAAAATCTTATAATATCTTATAAATACCTTGTAAATACGTTGTAAAACCTTTTAAAATACATTGTAAAACCTTATAAATACCTTGTAAAAAACCTTTAAAATACCTTGTAAATTTTTGGCGGGAAAAATTTTCCCGCCAAAAATTTAACGCCAAAAAAAATTGCGGAATCACTTTTCCCGCAAAAAAAATTTTTTGGCGGGAAAATTTTTTGGCGGGAAAAAGTTTTACGGGAAAATTTTACAAGGTATTAGGTTTTACAAGTTTTTACAAGAGTTTTGGCGGGAAAAATTGCGGGATCACTTTTCCCGCCAAAAAATATTTTGTATTTTGTGGACCTAATTTTGTTATATTTCCTTATATATTTGTGATATCTTTTATTAAAAGAAGGGTAATTTAGTCATTGTATATATAAAAAGGGATATTTTTAAAAATGGACAGACAAAGGGGACATTTTTGAAAAGGGGTATTAAAAAAAATGCATTTTTGTGAGTCTCCCTTATTTAAAAGTCTGTCAATATAATTCAGTTAATATCAATTTTTAAATAAATTAATACGTAAAAAATTCAAGTAATCAGTTGTCCACGAGGACGACAATGATGGAGCTCTGACAGATTTTGGATCATTTCGTACGAGAACTATCAGACAAGATCTTTCTCTCACACTCTTTTATATACTTACGTCATAAATATTCTGAAAATACACGTAAGTATATATAAGTGTGTATGTATATACACACGAAGAAGCAAATTTTGTATTTGTGTGCTTCGTATTCTAAAGGTCGTATCACCAGATGGGTAAAATTTTAGTTAGAAGCAACATTTAATGAGAAAAGATTGATAGCGTTATAAAGGAAAGATTTTGAAAATTGTGATGATTATTTAATGAGTTTTAGTAAAGTCAAGTCCACATACTACTGGGTTAATAGAAGATTCTGAAAATTAAGTAAGTTTGGAAGATTCTTTCCAGTAATTTTTTTTTAAAAGTTGACTCTTAGAAGAACAAAAAAATTTATATGCTACTAAAAATATTTTTGGCAGAATTAATAAATAACTAAGATAAAATAATTTCCGGCTTAACATGAAAAATGTATCAAAAATAAATTTCAAACCAACGTGGCATAAATTTAAACAAGATTATATCCAACTCATCTATATTTTGAAAAACACTTGAGCCGAGTCTTAATTCAACAACCGGATTTTGAAGGTTTCACTGCACTAAATAATCATATTTCGTGTTTTTTTTCCTAAATAATAAAAATATATAACTTATTTTCAAAGTTTTGTAATGACTTTATACTCTCGTTTTGAGGTGAATGAATTTGTTTAGCCAAAAAAAAAATAACAAAAAAATAACATAAAATATCATTTTTTAATTCTAATTATTATGATAGAAAATAGCACTCCAAATAAGTGTTTTAAAGTAATAGCCATTTACAAATTAACTATCACAATATTAATAGCCATTTACATATTCTCGATTGACCAATTTTTCAGTCACTATTTTATTAGCTGACCAACGTGGATTTGAGTCCATTTTCACAATTCTAAATGCATGTCATGACTTTTGCTGCCTTTAAAGTTATTTTTTTCTTTTTCTTATTCATTGACATGGTATTTGAATCCCAAATTTGGGTAGTGATGATTTGATGATGATATATGAAATATGATTGAGAACCTCGATTTCCAAAACCAAAAAATGTTTTATCAAAAAATAATTGTAGAAATACTAATAAGAAGAGAAGAGTGGCCCCAAATCTGAACACATCTCAGTGGTATGTTGCTTTTAAGAGCAGCTTGACCTTCGCTGACAAATTATCTTATTTTTTACAGTACAATTTTTTTCAAAACCTAAGTTGTTATATAATGTCATCATCCTCTGTGTTTATTACGTAGGCTTCATTGAAGGAGAGAAGGACCTCTCACTATCTCCTACGTCTTTTGATTCCCTCTGTCTTTTTGTTTTGCTTCTTGTTTATTCACTTCTCAAATTTTAATTTTTTTTTTGTTTCTTTTTAAGTTTTAGCAATATTTTTTTTGTTTGTTTATGGTTTTTGGTCTAAATGTTTACATTCGATTTTTTTTACGTTTCCACTTATATGACAAGTCTATGTAATAGAGATATGATTTGGCACGTGATCGAATTTTAGCACGATTCGTTTAGACCTAATATATACACACACATATATGTAGTGATTTGTGTTTGTTTTGTTTAATTCAATTCAAATACATGACCGCGTTTTTACGGTTTGGTTTGGTTTAGTTTGGCTGAAATTTTGTTCTACTTTATTTATTTACATAGTTTTGCTTATAATAAATTTGGTTTGTGTCTGTTTAATTTTGGTTTATTTGACATAAACAAAGTAGAATAAATTGGTTTATAAACAATATATATATATATATATATATTTTTAATTCCATTACACCGATAACAAGATGTCTGTGTCTCGCTAGAAGTGAAGATGCTTGGGTTATCATTGAATGAAAATTGTGGCTTGAAGTCTATGCCTAATTGGCCCATTACAAGCCCATTCCCAACCTATGTTTACAAGAGAGTGCTCTCACTCAAAATCCCCTGAATCTCCACTTCGTTCATTGAGATCATCTGTCAAGCTTTCGTCTTCACGGACACCTTTTTTGTGTGATCCACGCATCTTCACGAGTTTTCTCGGGTTTCTGCAACCTTTCAACACATCAGACATTGCTTCTGCTCTATGCAAAATAGACTTCCTTCTATCTTTATCGGGCGGTGCATCTACCGCTTCTCTGTATGTATTTGGCAGCTTCTTCGAGTGAGGAAGAGATGACATTAGGCTGGATAGTCTCTTCGCCATATCAGTCATCCCTTTCGATCTCAACCCGTTATCGATCATCTTAAATGTGATGTACTGTGGAATAATCCCTCGTCTCACCGC